TCCCAAGGTCATTCAGCCAGGGCTGGCTCCTGGTGCCTCTGCTCCTTCTGGGTCTCTCTCCCAAGAGTCTTCCTGCATCAGGTGACTTGTCAGGTGGGGCGGTGGCAGCTGGAGAGGAAAGCTGTGTTGTGTTGGCAGGTGGACACAGCAGAGCCTCCGTCCCCCTACAGCCCTCCTCTCCAGGATCCCAGTGTTCCTGTGGGACAGGGTGATGTGCTCTGGTGCTCCCATCCTCAGGCTCCTGACCATTTACACCAGTCCTGCCAGCTTCATGTTATAATGAGTCCACGGACTGCAGGCCCTTCAGACCAGGCCACTGCCTGCTCCAGCGTGTGGTGACGACAGTCCTTCCCTGAACAAAGGCAACAGGCCAGATGCTCCAGCAGCCCAGCCCTTAAGCTGCTATTACTGCCTTATGCTTCCTTTGTGTCTTCATTTGAGGGCTGTTATTTTGGTTATGTTTCCCCATGGGTGTAATGGTGTGCTGTGTTCTTGGACCTGGTCTCTGTGCTAGAGGGCGAGCTCTCTGAAGGCTCTGCAGGTAGTGCTGCTGAGTACCTCTGTGAAGAGATGAGGGAACCCCAGAGCCTGTCTGGAGAGAAACAGCTGGGGGCAGGGAGACTGGGAGGCTTCTAGAATTGGCCACACTGACACTGACACTCCAGATGTGTGAGAACAGGGTCCATCCATCCTTTGCAGTGAGGACAGCCTGGCATTTGTTGGTCTGGACTATGGGGTTTGATGATGGGTTCTATGAAAATAAGGTCACCCCAAAACCACTGAGCTGATCTTTCTGGTCATCAATGCAGCTTTTATTTTTCTCAAACTTTCTTTTTAGATTACAAAAATAATATATGCACACTTAAAAGTAAAAAACCAATCCCATCCTCAGGTGACTTGCTGCCACTTGGGTTCAGCCATCCATGTCTTCAGGACCATGCCAACTTTAAGAGCTTGCTTTCATCTCTTTTGAGAGATTGGTGGGGAAGGTAACCCCTTCCTCCTTTGTTAACTGCACAAGCCTCAGGCCACTGGGAAGCTAGGCTTGTGGGGAAGCTGAGTGTTCCTGCCAGGAGAGGCCAAGGTGCAGAGGCCGCCTCGTGACTGGAGCTTTCCTTAGTGCTCACTGTGTCCCTCATTTGTGCTGCTCCTTTGAATTGTGAAGGGACAGTGACACTTAGTGTGAGGCTGAATTAGTGCTCCGAAAACATCTCAAAGATCTTAGATCTTAGGAGAGATTATCACTGTAGAAAATTTGCCATGGTGAAATGCCACTTAACAGTTAAAACAACAAAGCATAGATCTAGGAGTCCTCAGTCCCTGAGCGTTGGAGAGGGTGGAGCATTGCAGTGGGCCGGCTGCTTAGAATATTTACAGACGTCAGGACTTTCTCAGCCAAGGCCTGGGGACAGTGACACTGTGTTCCTGTGTGTATTCACCTCTTCTGCAGGCAGCCACTAGCAGTACTTCAGGCGGCATGTGAACAGAGCAGCTTATGCTTTCCAGCTCTGCCCCTGGGAGCTGTTATAGGGTGGGGATGAGATGCAGGGTGGGGAGGATCCCTGCAGCCATCATGTATGAAGCCTGAGAGATCCCATCCTCTGCATGGCTCCTCAAGACTATATGAAGACAGCTGGCTAGACTTAAAAATGTATTCCCAAATATGTCAAGTGCTTGGCATAATGAAATGGGACCTGACTCAAGGGACCAGTTAACCTCTGTCCAGAGCCTTAGCACATGCAGCTGGGTAGGACACTGGTTTGATGTGAACTGGAGCCTCACTTTCCTGAGTGCCTCCATCCCCTTGGCTCTGTATTGTGGTGAAAATACCTCCTCATTCACTGGCGTGTGTACCTCCTGTTCATTGCTGCATTCTGACCTGGTGTCTCCCCACCTACCAGATGCCCTATTTGCCTTTTCAGTTGACAAAGGGAAGTGATCCCATCAAGGGCAGGTCCTCCTCACCCCTCTGCCCCAGTGGTCAGGTGTGGACTTGGTCAGGTGTGTAGCTTTGCTGTTGGCTTGGGTGGGTGTCGTTGTGCAGAACTCACAACAGCTCAGCAATGCTTGGTCCCCATTTTGAGGCATTTTGAGCCAGGGCCTAGTCTGTTCTTGTCTAGTCTCCTGTGAAAAGCCTCTTCTTCTGGTCTTTCCTGCCTGATCCTGCTCCACCCGCCCAGAGGAACATCTCAAAGCCAGTGGGGAAGGAGGGCTAGGTCTGTCCACTTGCTTATCATGGGCAGCTTTTAGGAGTGGACAATCTATTTTATTTCCCTGATGTCAATCACACCTACATTGTAAGTATCTAGCTCCATGAATGGGAGAGTGAACCCAGCCTTGTAGTAACCATCCACATGAGAGTGTGGAAACCATCGCCAGCACATAGATGTCTCCCTCATGTCCCTTAGTGTCCTGCAGACCAGGTGGCTTCTGCCCTGACTTTTGTCCCTATGGATGAGTCTTGCTTATTTCTGGTCTCTGCAGTTGTACAGTGGGGGCCTTTGTCCTGGGTGGGGCCTCTTACTCCGTCGCTCTCTGCTCTAGTACGTGGATGCCACTGTTGACGGACATGGGGTGGCTTTCAGTTCCGGGCTGCAGACTTCCTCGCCTGTGTTGTTTCATGGGCCAGGGCACTGGCACAGTGCCTGGGGTGGCTAGCGGTGGCAGGTGTGGCACACTCACTCAGAATTTTAGAAGACTCTGTGAATGGCCAAAAGGAAGACTTACATTCCAGACACTAGAGTATGTGCTGAAGCTGAGAGATCTAGTGATACGCAGGTCCTGAGGGCTGTGTAATTGGGTGTCCAGGTGGGGTGGAGTTGGACAGACTGGATGCCCTGGAGACGAGGAAGCACAGGAGTCCATCCCTTATACCACCCACTCAGGCAGACCCTGGGCAGATCTGACAATTAAGCCAAAATACAGGCATACAAGGAAGTCAGGAGAAGGGCTCTTACTTTGGGACAAGAAGGGCGATCCCTGTTCAGGAAAGATGGGAAAATTCACTGTAAAATAACAGAGTTAAAAAAAAAATCAGACCCTTTTATTTATTTATTTTAATTGATTTGAAAGAGAGAGAGAGAGGAAAAAAAGAAAACATTAGTTTTTGTTGTTCTGCTTATTTATGCATTCATTGGTTGATTCTTGTATGCTCTTTGTCAGGGGATCAAACCCACAACCTTCGCATATTGGGATCATGCTCTAACCAACTGATCTACCCAGTCAGGGCAGTAACAGCCTTTCTGATGGGCAGTGCCACAGGCAAGGCTGCAATGCACGGGAGGGATGGGGAGAAAACATTGTGGCTCATGGAGGAAACAGGGCATGCCTGTCCACACTACATCAACAGCATTACAGATCAGTGCAACAAAAGCCCAGGATTCAGTATCCAAATCAGTGATTCATGGACATGGGCCTGCGGGTGGCTGTAAGATGTGTTGCTACTAGGGGATGCCACGGAAACTGGTGAGAGCATTTTCTGCCTCTGCAGGCAGGTGAGTCTTGGCAGGCTCCTCCTGGGGTGAAGGGAAGCAGGACCAGACTGGCATCAGATATTTGGAGGTGTGCTCACCTGGGAGTCTCAGCCGCTGACTGAGTCATTTCACTTCCCGAGTCACTGTCCTAGGAGGGTCCTTGGCCTGGTTGCAGAGCTTGGGCCTAGGACTCCACCCCCTAGGAAAGATGAGCAACAGTGAGCAGGCTGGGGACACTACCCCTTGCAAGGATGGACCTGCATAGCCAGTCATGGGGAAGATGGACAACGAAATCCTGCCTGTGTGATAACCCTATACACCCGTACTTTGCTGAGAAAGCTGTGGAAGCACACAGCTGACCGGAGATGGGGCTTTTGTTGGCTGTGCATAGTTGGATGAGAGTGTGCTCTTGGGTCACCTGGGAGTGGGAACCACAGCCACAGACTCTGCCAGCCCCCAGGAGCTGTTGGTTGTGGCAGCAGGAGGTGTGGAGCCTTGGGCTTGGGTACAGAGAGGCTGAACGGGGTGAGCTGATGAGCCTGCCGCAGGCATGAGAGGACAGGTGGACTTGGAGGAAGGGGAAGGGAGAGGCCCTTGGAGGAGATGGTGCTGATAGGCACTGGGTGGGTGGCAGCAGTCAGTGCGTGCTGCCACTAACCCCCAGGTGGGGTGAGGTGGGCAGCCAGTTAGGGAGTAGACCACCTCCAGTAGTGCTGAGGTCTGCCAGTCCCCCTGCTAGGTCCTTCTCCATCTGGGCTGGCAGTGACAGTAAGGCCCTGTCAGTGACCCGTAGGCCCCTCTTGTGTCCTCTTCTAGTGGCCTCATTGAGGTCAGTGGCTCGCCCTGCCTTTCACCCACCTGTCTCTGCCAGGTGCGGGGCAGGAGGCATGGAAGCAGATCCTCACTGTTGGTCAGCAGGCTGTGGACGGGTCCATCAGGGTGCCAGGTCTTATTCCCAATGGCCCTTGTCTGAGCCACTGCAGTCATCGCTGCATCTCTTGGCATGTTACTCTGACTAGTCTAGCCAGGTCTGCCTGCCTATATCATTTTCTTATTGTGCTCTTTTTACTTATTTATTTATTTTATTCCTCACTCGAGGATATTTTTCAATTTATCATCAGAGTGGGAGGGAGGGAGGGAGAGAGAGACAGGGAGAAACATCGATGTGATATAGCCACATTGACTGGTTGCCTCCCCCACGACTCAACCAGGGCTGGGGATGAACTGCAACTGAGGTATGTGCCCTTGACCGGAATTGAACCCGCGACTTATTGGTCCGCAGGCCAGTGCTCTAATCGCTGAGCCAAACCGGCCGGGGTTCTTGTGCTCTTGTTAAATGCCACACAGAATGAGGTTTGAAGCGGACTCAATGAAGAGCCTGATCCTTCTGACAGAGGCAGTTTACCCAGCTCCACTTGGCTGCTAGGAACAGCCCTGTTGGTCCTCTGGGAAGCAGGAGAGGAAGCAGGAGGTACCAGCTGGAGGGGTGATTCAGAGGCTGTGAGTGAGCAACAGGATGAAACAGGCCAAGAGAACTCTCAAAAGCGCTATCAGCAGATGGGCTGAGAGTGCCTAGAAAGCTCTGCTTTGTTGCCAGCACCAGTGCACTAAGAATAGCTGATGCCAAATCCGCCACCCATTCTTTCTGTGTTTCAGAATTACCAGGTGGTTAGACCAGGGGAAAACCAGACTTGCTGAACTGTGATCAAGAAGACTTCCACTGGCTTTTTCAGAGAGTATGGGAAGTTCTTGGCCTTGGTTTGAAGACGTCACTTTCTTTTGCTTCACACTTCACAGGTCCTTCCTCCTGGGGCTCAGGTGTGCCCAAGGACTCCAGGTGCACGTGGGGAGTGCAAGCCCTGCTCTTCACATGTGGATCCACACAGGCTGCAGGTGGGAGCACCTGGCAGAGATGCACACTCAGACTGGTGTAGGCCACCCCAGGGGACACAGTGTTTTCTTAGCTGTTTCTAGGCAGGGCAAGGTCACAGCAGTTGTCCCAGGCTGATTGACTGGTGAGCAGGGGCAAGTGGGCAGGTCTGAGGTGTGGGTACTCTGGTCTCATTGGTGCATGTGCACCCTTGTGTACCTACCCAGCCTGAATTGCAGTCCCTGGGCTGGGGATCTTTTGTCACAGTCTCAGTCTGTGCTGGACATCGTGGAGAGAAGGCGCTCGTAGAGCTGCTGCCTTCCTGTTCTAGGTGGGACTTCATGCTGTTCTCTATTCACTCCCAGAAAAGTCCTAGGTAGTTGGTTAAAGCAGAGCTGTCACTCGGCCATGCTCACAGAGATCAGTGTTTTATGTGAAATCTTTGTGGTTACAAAGATTGCCTAGTTGTAGTTGTTGTGTGCAGTTAGGAGAGTTCGTGTTGGTGTGAGTTGTGGAACGTGGTGTTGCGAAGCAACCATGGTGAGGACGCTCCATGGGCATGTGGGACTGCCGACACCAGCTTCCTCCCAAGCGGGACCAACTCCTGGTTTTCTATACAGAACAGCCCAGGCCACAGTGAGCACCCCTTTGGGCCTCAAGGTGAGCATGGAAGGACACGCTTCCCGCAGTGGCGAGAAAGACGGCACCTCTTTGCGTCTGGCTCTGCAGCCCACCTCTGTGCAGCGCTGAGCCCGGTGTCTCAGGTTGTTTGGCCACCTCACAGGTCCACTCTCTAGCTCTTGTGTGGTCCCTTCAGACTGCTGCCCCCACAATCTCCCCTCCTTGGCCTGGGCCACTCTCTGGGGCTTCCCATCCCTGTGGACCAGATGGGTTCGCCTGTACGTGAGGCAGTTGTAAAACAGCAACCCCAGTATGACCACACATGGACACAGTGACTTTCCACTGTGGCTGGGATGGAACTGGCTGCCTGTAATCAGCTTTCCCAGGGGCTTCTAATGCCTTGGGGAGGGTCGACCACAGGGAGAACAGTGAGGCCAGTGGGGCCCGTGTAAGAGGCATGCTGGCTTCCCAGTGTTTCCATGATGAAGCTGGGTGGGGGCAGCCTGTGTATGTGCCAGGGTGGTGCACATGTGCAGATCCAGTGTTGGGGGCACCCTGGCCTTCTAGGGGGCTGTCTAGGAGCAGATGTGAGGTCAGGTATGCCCACCTGACCCCAGCACCCCATGTGTGCCTGCTCCTTCACCCCATATGCAGCCTCTGTGCACCCCTCCAATGAGCCTCCTGTGTGACCTCAAGCTGAGCTCTCAGTGAGAGGGCGTCATACCTGTAAAGTGCCCAGCTCAGGAAGTTGCTCCCCAGCTGTCCCCTCCCTTGCCCTGTGGCACCTGGAGCCCAGCCTTCTCTGACTCAGTGTGTCACTGGCCAGAGAGCCAAGTTCTATGGGGGCCCTCCTCTCTGTGTCCTGTGTCACCTGGCTGCCATCCAGGTTGCCTGGAGGCCAAGTGAAGGAAAGGAAGGGAATGCAGAGGATGGGCCTGTGATGATTCATTGCCTGCCCTTGGTAGGCCTGACTGAGTATGTACATTACTGTCATGGCCTCTTTGGCCTGCTGGGGCAGGCAGCGCCCTGGGCATAGGACACAGAGGTGGGAAATGGCTTCCTGCAATGATCAGATGCTCATCTAAGGCCCATGGTAAAGCTCCTGGTCAGATCCTCTGGAATCCTCCTGCCTGCCTTTTCTCTGTCTGTGGGCTGGCTCTGGCCATCTTGCCCTCAGGAGTGACCCCGGAACCTGCATAGCCCTTAAGTCTCAAGCTTCCATGAGCATGTGGACATTCCACAAGGCCCTGCGCCTATGTGCTGAGCCCTGGGTGGGTGTGGGGACAAGTGGGATGAGGATGTCACTGAGAAAGCCAGGCATGCTTCTGTCTGGGATGCTGCCCTCCCTGCAGACTTTACCAGCTCAGGTGTCATTCAGGGTGAGCTCGTCCTGACAAACATAGTGCCACCTGACAAGGATGAGCCCCAGCCACATCAGGCATGATGGGACCTGTTGAAGGCCCTCCCCCTCTGCTGGCCACAGGGCTGTGGGAAGTAGAGAGGAGCATTTTCTCAGAGGACCTGAGTGATCCAGCAGGCAGGTCACTGTTTGTCACTTACATGCCCACCTGTCTTATACCCAGCACTTGGTGCAGTGACTGGGATGACAGAGGCTGTATCAGAGCTTGTTCCCAGAGCCCTGAAAGTCAGCAGGGATGAGAAGGTAGCTGAACAAGGAGGGGTGTCAGGGAGGACTTCGCCAGGCTCTGGAAAAGATGTTGGAGCTTCATGGTGGGCCTGGGGGGGGGGGGGCACTCTGGGAGAAGGGCTGGCATCCCTGGGACCTACCAGGAGTTTGCTGAGGGAGCATATCGGGTCTAAATGAAGAAGAGTGCTGGGGGTAGGTGGGAGGTGAAGCCAGGAAGGGGAGGGACCTGTGGGCAGCGGGCCTGGCTTGAGTGGGGGGTGAGGGATTGGAGAGAAAGGCAGTTCCTGATGGTCCCCTCCCCAGGGGCTGGCTTTCCTCTGGTCCTTCCCTCCCAATGACTGCGTCTTCGTCGAGGCTGCAGCCCTGGGCTCTGTGCCCACACCTCTGGCACCAGGCTGCCTGGAGACCCATCGGTGGCCTTTCCTCAGACCACAGAGCCCTCCCTGCTACATCTGGAGGGCTGATCTGCCACTCACCTGTGCCAGCTCGAACAATGGGGTCCTGCAGTTGAGTTGGGGGTGGGGGCTCTGTATATGGCCTGTGAGCATCAGAGGCCAGACCTGTCTTTTGCCAGTGGCCTCATCTAGTGGCCAGGCATGCAGCTCAGGGAAGGATGTGGTAGGCCAAGGCAGACATGATGGCCTCTTCCTCTGACAGCCCAGAGTGGTACATCCCTGGTGAAGCAGCCTTCGGAATAGCCCTTCATCCCAGTGGGACTCTGGACCAGTGGTATTTCAGCAGGGGTGGGCTGGCAGGGCTCCTACCACTGACTGCGGCAACCTGGGTGCCACAGACACCACCAGTTGGCCTTACTTGGAACATTCTTATGTCTGAGAGAGGCACAAGAATCCCCTGGGTTGACGGAGCCTGTGTCTTCTGTGCTGGACTATGATCAAGTGTCAGGTGCTGGGAACCCTGTCAGCTGTACCTGGTGGGTGGGACCCTGGGAGGCCCAGCATGCTTCCTGTCTCTCTGCACTGTGTTCTGTCTGATTCTGCTGACTCATATCATCAACTGTGTCTAATCTGTTGTTCAATCCACTGCTGAGTTTGAATTCATGGTTATCTGGAACTTCCCTTTCTGAAAGTTCTTTCTGGTGCTTTGCGACCCCCCTTTTCCCTGTAATATCCCCAGGCACTCTTTTTCTGCAATCAGCACGTGGTTGGTTTACAAAATGTATGGCGATCTCTTTTTGCTGGTTCTTGTGCATGATGCTTTATTTTGTTATGTGGTTCTTTCTGACTGTGTGCTGCTCTTTGTCCTAGAAATTACTTGTGAGACTTCTTGGAGGTCTGGGGTAAAGATGAAAACTTTGGTTTGTCAGGTGCCCAGGGACACTACCATTGTGGGGAGCCCTGTAAACCAAGTCTTGGCTTGAGGTTTCCTGGGCCCTGGTGTGGCCCTGGCTCCACTCGTGGAGTTTCTCCGGGACTCCCTCCACTTGTAGACTGTCCCTGTGGCCCCTGGGTGGCTGTGTTGCTCTTCAGGGTTCCTACTAGATCCCTTGGAGGGTTTCCTACTAGGCCCTGTCCCTAGGCAGCCCTAGGTTTTGTCTTCTGTTCCTCACACTGCGAAGGCCACCAGAGCCCAGTTTGTTAGATGAGTCAATGCCCCAGGGCAGCAATGGCCCCTGAGCTCTGCTTTTTTCCCCTCTCTGGATTCCTATGTTCTCCAAGATGTTGGCTAAATCCTACATGACCTTGTTAGCTCTCAGCTGCTTTTAAGATGCTTTCACATTCTCTCAAACATTTTGAGTTTTTACTGAGATTGTTGGCCCCATCAGGCTGCCCACAAGTATTGGGATTGTCAGGGCACCCAAGGGTGGGAATCTAGCCCACTCTTGTCAGCTCGGGCTGGTGGCTAGCAGCCCATCTCACATCGCTGTACATCCCCTAGCACCTTGCACTTCTGCTAGTCGCCATGGCGACACCTCACCTACACCACTATGGGCTTCATTCAGGGCAAAGGTTGGTCTCCTGCTGGCCCTTACCATGCCTGCAGGGGCCAGGAGGAACAGGAGGCCGAGTCCTGGGGGTCCCTCCGGGGCTTGTGGGAGCCAGTGGAGATAGTAGTGGAGTCAGTCCTTTCCCCCGCCCCTCATCACCCAGTGAGCAGAAGTGAGTGGAGTGATGGGAACACCATGACGTTGTCCACAAGATGGCCTCAGGAGCTAGGCAGCCTCAGGCTCTGGCCCCTTTTGGCTCTTCTGTACTCTTAGCTTCAGCTCCTGCTGCCCACCCACCTGCAGACGGGTTGCTGGCAGGGTTGGTGTGGTGGGAACATCCTCCTTCTGTGAGTCCTGAGACAGGAAAAGTTTCATTTCAAAGACCCCAGAACTGAGAGCGATTGCACTGACATTAGAGAGGAGCTCTCACCATCACTATTCATCTGCCTGTCCCATGGCTGGGAATGGGTCTCTCCCGGCACTGTGGGGGCCTGGGCTTGAGGCACTGAGCTGGAGCCCTTCTAGGCCCATGCCTGCTACCCACATGCCTGCAGGCGGCTCTGTGATGGTGTGCCACACAGCAGGCTGGCCCTTTTCCCTGAGTGGCTGTTCTGAGGCCGGGGGTAGAGAGGCAGGAGTGGCAGAGTAGCCAGGCAGGCTTATATTGAAGCCTGGAGCAAGGACAGGCTAGGTTGGTAATCTTTCTGCTGCTCCTGCCTCCAGCAAGGGCCCAACTCACAGACCTGTTTTACAGATGTACCCCACTGGGCAAAGCCCAGGCCTTATTCTAGCAGGCAGTGCACTTAACATCCTGAGACAGGCTACTGCATAGATCCTCCCTAACCCCAGGGTGCCCCAGGCTAGGGCACTTGGAGTTCAGTGGCCTCCTCTAGACACATGCAGACAGACAAGTGTATAAGCGTACACATGCACACATGAACACATGCAGACATATTCATGCAGTTAAACATATGCACAGATTCTCAGCCTCACAAATGTGCACATACGTTAAACACATTTTCCCCCTTGCTCATCAGGCTCTTCTGGGGGCATCTTCTTGGCTCCCTTCAGTTATCTGCACAGCCACTTTGCTGCCCTTGTCCTGGTTGAGGGTGCTGGCTCTGCTCTGGAGCCATGTCCTTAGCTTGTCACACACGTATAGGACTAGAGACCCTCACAGTCACCTTGTCCAGGGTTGGTGGCCTTGGGATCTCATTTCAGTTCCTAACTCATTTGTGGGAAAAAATCTGCTGGCTCCAGAGGCCCCAGGTGAGAGACATTTGTGGCTGGGGGGTAGGAGGGTGTGCACCGAGTTGTCACCTGGGTTTGTGTCCATGTCACCAGCACATGTGCTTTGCCCCTTGTCCCCTGTTGACTGGGGTGTGCAGGGCCCTGTGGGTCCCTGGCTACACTTGGGCTGTCATGGGCAGAAGGTGTGTGTCGAGGGCCTGCAGTAGACACGGATGCAGAGTATCACCAAGCCAGTTGGATGTGATATGGCCCTACCTTGAGTGGCTCGGGGCTGGAATTGGTGCTGGAATTGGGCACTCTGGGGGGTGGCACGGAGCAGGCTGCAGAGCCTTGCTCCCAGGTGGGTTTGAGCCAGCTTGCCTGCCCGCTGCTCCAGCTGTGCTTGTGGTTCTTGCTCTTGCTGCTGCTTTCCCCTCTAGCAGTTACTTGCCACCCGATGTGGTCCACAGCCAGTGAGCACTGCAGGCACCATGGCAGTCTGGCCAGTGTTGACAAGTGTGTACGTTTAAGGACATGGTTGTGTAGTGCTGGTGAGTGTGTCATGGTGTTGGGCACATGACTCTGGCACATCTAGTGAGTTTCAAGGTCATTATAGATCTGGTTTTGTTCCAGGTCAGAGAACATTACAGGTTCAGGAAAGGTGGTTCTATAGTCTGCTGTTTACTAAACTAATTCTTTTCCTTTTCCTGCAGACTGTGTGACCCTGTGTGAGCAAAGCCACCCTCAGGGACCCATGTGCATCATCTTCTTTAAGTTTGATCCCCGCCCTGTTTCCAAAAATGCATACAGGTAACTGCCTCACTCTGGGTCTGCCATCATCTGCTCAGCCTTGGGTGCCCACAGTCCTCAATACCCATGTAGGCTCCCCAAGCAGGAGAGGCATGCTGTTGCCCGGCGGGGAGAGGGCGGCCCTGGGACAAGCTGCACAGGCCTGGCAGTGCCCTCTCAGACAGTGGTCACTCAGCGTGGGGTGCTGGAGGGAATACCTCTCAGTGGTGAAGACCCCGAGTCGATGTACAAATATACTAAGACCCTTCCTTCCTTCCTTCCTTCCTTCCTTCCTTCCTTCCTCCCTCCCTCCCTCCCTCCCTCCCTTCCTTCCTTCCTTCCTTCCTTCCTTCCTTCCTTCGTTGCGGTTTGGTCCCTGACCCTGGTCAGGGTCGTGCGGGAGGCAACCAATCGATGTGTCTCTCTTCACATGGATGTTTCTGTCTCTCTTCCCTGCCCACTCTATCTGAAGATAAATGGAAAAATATCCTCGAGTGGGAATTAAAAATGAAAAGAATAGGACAGGAGGATGAGGGAGGGGGCTGTCATGGGAGGGACACTGCAGCAAGACCAGTGAGGAGGGGCCTGGTGATCTGAGCTTGGGCATGTCAGAGATTTGGGATGGGCGCCCGTTGCCTGGAGTGGAAGAGGGAGCAACGAAGGGGGACTAGGCCCAGTTCCAGGGCCATTGGCCTGGAGGGAAGGAGGCCCTGACTGTCCAGTGTTGCAAGGAGCTGTCTGGGCCAGCAGGGCCTTCCCCAGTGCCCCTTACTTTGGTTCCTTCCTACCTTAACCACCCCTGTCCTGGCCTGGGTTGCACCAGCCTCTGATGCCCATCCTGGCATCCACTGCAGTATCATCATCTTTCCCCTGTGTAGCACCAGTCGGGATGAGAGTGTGTTTTGTTTGTGTGTGTATAATGAAGTACATATAACATAAAATTTGCCACTCTAACCGTTTGCAAGCGTCTAGTTCCACAGTATTAAGTATATTCACCTTTTTATGAAACCTCACTACCATCCATCTCTAGAACTCTTCATCTTCTCAAACTCTGTCCCCATTGAATAATAATCCCCATTCTTCCTAACCCCAGCCCCTGGCGCCATCATTTTCCTTTCTATTTCTATGATCTTAACTGCTCTGGGTTCCTCATATAAATGGAATCGTACAATATTTATCTTTTTGTGACTAGCTTATTTTACTTAGCATAACATTTTCAAGGATCATTTGTGTTGTAGTATGTGTCAGAATTTCCTTTCTTTTCAAGGCTGGATGAGATTCCATTGTATGGCTAGGCCTCATTTATTTATCCATTCATCCATCAGTAGACACTTGGGTTGCTTCCACCTCTTAGCTATTGTGAATAATGCTGCTATGAATATTAGCGTATAAGTATCTGAGTCCTGCTTCCAATTCTTTTGAGTGTGTACCCAGAAATGGAATTGCTAGATCTTATGGCAAGTCTGTGTTTAACTTTTTGGGGAACGGCCAAATTAATATCCTCAAGTGTATTTTGATGGCCCTGCCATAGGCTCCCTGTGGCATCTCGGCCCAAGTCCCTGTTGAGTGGGAGAGTGTGTCCTCACAGTGTGTCATCATTGCACACCATTCAGACCAGGTTCTCTCCTCCCAGCCAGACAGTCCTGGTGCCAGGGCCACCATCCACTTGAACCCTGCTGCCCACAAAGCTGGTTCACACGGCTGGGACTGTTGAGGTCCCGTGGCTCCATGTGCTCCTTCCAGCACCTTCAGTCTCAACCGTGTAATGTTCTCTTACCCCTCAGGGTAACAAATGGCACCTGTTTTAATTCATATTTGTGAGTTAAACTCATTTCTGCAGTCAGTTTTGTTTTAGGTCAGATGATTGCAAAGAGGACTTTTACTGCTGTACCTGTGGCCATTATTGCCATATCTGTAACTGTGAGTCAAACAAGTCATCTCTGCTTTGCAGAGACTGACACCCTCATTTTTGATGCTGGGGGCAGTGTTACTTATGGTTCTGCCATTTCCAGATGCTGATATTATGGGATTTAGTTCCTAGGAAGGGGAAAGGTGAGCCTATCCCTGTCACACCCCCCCTGGGGTGGCCCAGCGGTGTTCATGGTTGACCCGTCCTGTCACTTTGCTGGCCTGCTGATGGAAGGCATGGTTCCTGAAGCATCACCCCCTCTCTCAGGCTGTGTTTGAGCATTCTGTCATCTCTTTCCCACAGGAGAAAGCGTGGGCCACTTAGAGCATCTGTCTTGTGGGTTGTTCATGCCCAGACTCAGCAGCCACTCTGCTGCCCTCCCTATTGCGGATGCCCATTGCTCCAGATGTGGCACTCCCATGTCACATGCCACTGCTGCCTTACCCCAGGCATTGGCCTGGCATGAACCTCCCTGTCTGTCTTCTGGGTGCTGGGCTGGCCCTGGTGTAGGTGTAGTCTGCCTTCCAGGTTGCATGCCGGCCAACCACAAGTGGGCTCTTCCGGTGTCGCTCCGTCCTGGGCTCACTTTGGACACAATGCATCATGGCTGCTGTCCAGGGGTGTGCTCCCTTGGATGGTCCCAGTCTTTGCCCTCTATACCCGTTGTTGCCAGGTACTTGAAACCTCCATATTTTGGTGGCATTTACTCGATGTGAGTATAGTCTGGGTGCCTGTTGGTTTTGCTCTTGTTTTTAATACTAGTGTGTCTATCTGCATTACTCTGGCAAGGAGCCTAGAGGATAATAACTTACATTAGGGGCCTGTGAGATGCTAACTTAGAAGTTTTCCATGCTGGCTGCAGCGTTGCCCTTGGGTCCCAATGATCTTGGCATGCTGTGTAGAAGCAGCTGTGTCTAATGGGATTCCACTGATGTTATTTCCTTGATTGCAAAAGGCTATGTGCTCTTTGAAAAAAAAGTCATACCCCACAATATGTACAAAGTAAACCGTGAACTCTCAGACCTCCCCTCCCCAGAAGGTGCACAGACTCAACATAGACCCACCCCCAGATGGTTCACAGACCCACCCTCAGTAGCCCGGTGAGGAGAGCTCATTGGTCATGAATAATTAATTAGCAGTTTCAATGATTAGAACAAAACAAAGCCATGGTTGACTCACTGTCCTCAGATCCCAGCTGTGGTGGGATCGTCCCCTGCCTCTGGGCACAGGGGCACAGTTGGACCTTTATCAGTGTTGCTGTCCCAGAAGTAGTACCTGAGGGATTACTTCCCTCACTTGGAGCCTTGAGGTGGGCGCTCATCACACCCACACATCTCTGAATTATATATTTAATAAAATCCCCAACAAACCATGAAATTCAGCTAGTGACTCTTTTGATGAAAATAATCCAGCAATTGATGTTCCCAGTTACAAACACATGTAAATGCTCCTTGTTTTATTTTTATTGTTTTATCCTCACCCGAAGACATTCCTCCATTTTTTGTTCAGATAGAGTGGGAGGGAGGGAGAGAAGGAGGGGGGGGGAGAGAGAGAGAGAGAGAGAGAGAGAGAGGGAGAAACATCAAAGTGAAAAGGACACATTGAGTGGCTGCCACCCACACGACCTAACCAGGGTCAGGGACAAACTGAAACTGAAGTACGTGCCCCTAGCAGGGGCCGAACCCGGGTGTCTCTAGACTACAGGCTGACGCTCTAACCGCTGATCCAAACCAGCCAGGGCAACGCTCCTTGTTTTAAAAAGAGGCAGTTGTGCCTTGTCTGTATGGCTGTTGGTTGAGTATTGTCCCATGTACCAGGAAGTTGTTGGTTCGATTCCCAGTCAGGGCCCATGATGGTTTGCGGGCTTGATCCCTAGTAGGGGTTGTGCAGGAGGCAGCCGATCGATGTTTCTATCACTCTCTCCCTCTGCCTTCCTTTCTCTAAAAATCAATTAAAAAAAAAAAAAGCTTTATTGAAAAAAATAAAAAGAAACAGTTAAAAATCTTAGGACAGAAGGTTCTGCTCAGTCAGCTTTTTCCATCCCTAATATTTCCTTCTCTGGAGCCTTATGTAAGAAACAAAACCAGAAGCCAACAGCACAGGCCTCATTTTGGGCGCTTCCTTGGCCTCGCCATCCCCCACTCTCCACAGGGGTCAGAGTGAGTGTGCAGAGGAGGGCCTGGGGCACTGGGCATCTGAAGGAGGACCCTTGATCTTGACCATGTGAAACAGCCCCCGCCCATGGAGTTATCAGGGAGCCTGGCCTCTGCTGCATCCCCACCACAGCAGGAGTCTTGTCCCCTCTTGGGGATGTGGCACTTTTCCTCCTTCTGATGTTGTCCAGGCTGTGGTGGAGGGACACCTTCTACCAGGACAGGCCCATTTAGGCAGCCTGTGGGAGCAGGGACAGCCAGGACACATCTGTGGCTGGGTTCCAGAAGTGACAGAGCAGATGTGGAAAGCAGGGTTCAGGGCCCAGCTGGCTTCTCCTTCAGACCATCTACCTTAACCCCAGGCTAGGGTCCAGGTCGGAGCTTGGCAGTTAGAGCTGCAGAAGATTGTTCTGGGAATGGCTGGGGCTCTTATCAGGGCAGAGACTTTTCCCTCTCAGGGGCACATCCCTGAGACCTGGTGCAGTGCTGGAGCCAGCTCTGTAGAGGGGACAGAGTGGCTGCCTACCAGACTGGTGTTATGAAGGTGGTGAGGCTTCCAGGGCAGACCCGACTATTCACGGCCATGCACCGTCCCTGGCGGTATTGGCACCTGTAGCTGGGCTGCATGGGGAGGTGTAGAGTGTGCGTGTGGGGGTCATGTGCTGTGTCCATGGGGTGAAAACACTTCCATGGCCCAGCCCTGGTTTCACTTTCAGTTCTATGAACATCTTTGGTAATTCACATTGTACATGAGCAAATATTCATGAAGTCAATGAGACAAGATAAATTATTTTTGAAGACTTCTAAGGACATGACCACTGACTAGACTAATTTGGTTTCTGACCCAGTGTGACCACAGGCCACTAAGCCCCAGACCCTGGCCCCTTGTCCTCTCTGTTCACCTGTATATCCACCTGTGGTGCTCAAGTCCTCCGGTGACCATTTCTTAGATCCTGAGGTGTCCCACTCAGTCACCATCTGTGTTCTTATTTAAATGGCAAAGCTGACTGGAAACTTAGCTCTAAACCAGGGCTCTGAAAACTGTGACATCTTTTCTAATTACCAAAGAAATACTTGTTTGATTTATAATGAAAAAAATTAGAGAAACAGAGGAGCTCTCACCCATTCCCTCCCAGAACACCCCAAACTCAGGACAGCAGCCCTCAGAGACCCTGTGCGCTGCAGTGGTCCACACGTGTCCCCACACCACTCTGGTGAGCATGCTCACACTTCTGGGATGCTCGATGGGGTGTCTGTCTTCAGGGGAAGAGACAGATAGACAGAAGGAGGGGCACCTCCCTGTCACCTAGGTACCTGAGACATACTTGGTACCTCTGGTAGAATTCATTCTCAGAGCCCTCCCCTGCCTGGCCCCTGGTCTTTGCTTGCTAGGCCCTGTTTCAGGTGCGCAGGGGGTGTGTGGGGCAGGACTCCGCCTCCTGGCCCTGAACGGCGTGGACACATGTCTTCGCCCATCTCCTGCCTGTATCCACTGCAGGGCCCTGGGGCACTGTCTGGCCGAGGGCTTCTGGGAAACCCTCTGCCTGGAGCTGCTGCTGACCTTTGTCCCTTGCATGTTTTATTCTCTTTGGGACTTGCCCATGTTGTTACTGAGGCAAATTGTCTTTGTTAACTAGGGAGGAAAAAATGTGGCTTTTCTGTTTTGACCTGAGAGTTTCAGTTGTGATTTCTTTTTCAGGCTCATCCTGGCAGCCAACAGGGATGAATTCTACCACAGACCATCCAAGGTAGCTGACTTCTGGGGTGACAACAATGAGATCCTCAGCGGTGAGTCTTTCTTTGTGGTGGGTGGCCACTGCCTGATAGGAAGTATGAGCCCCAGATGGTTCTCACCATTACGAGTGCTGCTTCCCTGTGTAAATTTGGAATGAATAAGTGGACACCAATGGATCTAATGGGGGTGGGCTCCAAAGTCTTGCTCTGGGCCAGTGTTGGGTTGATCAGCCCCAGAATCGTTCACCCAACACTGTCCCTGTGGCTTGATGTATCATGGATTTGCAAAATAAGTAGCCGGAAGGATCAGTTGGTTTTATTTGGATCCACACGTTCCCGTGAGCATGCGGTTGTATGGGTGTGAGGTGCAAGTCCACACTCTATCACTCTGAGTAGCATTATAGTTGTGTGTGTGTGTATGTGTGTGTGTGTGTGTGTGTGTATGCGCACACACACATGTGCTTATATCTGCACACGTTTCAGTTTATGTACAAGCGCCCCTTGCTCCAGTAGGAGCTGGTCTGAATTTGGGGAGCAGAGGTTTGGTTGAGGCACCTTTGGGTGGGAGCTTCACGAGGAGTTTCTGTGGGGAGAAGTGGAGGAGACAGCCAGGTCCCTTGCCCACCCAGCCAACAGCCTCCCTGAGCCACTTGGACAGGGAGCAGTTCCTGCCCATGGGGTGGGCAGGGATCTGCTTGGAGGGCATGCAGGCAGGTGTTGGCTGAGCTAGGAGTCCCTCTGCCTGGGAGCCAGGTGCCAAGTAAGCACAAGGGTGCCTGTCAGAGTTGACAGGTGCCCAGTGTGCTGGGCATGTGGCCTTGTGGGCCCGGGGAGGCGGCATGTGCTCTGCTCTACCTGCAGTGTCTGAAAGCTCAGCTGTGGAGCTTCCACAGAAGGCTTTTTGTATAGACTGTGGTTGAGCAGTGGTGCGAGGAAAACACTGCTGGACTGTCCTGGTGTGAGAGGAGGGCAGGAATGGGGGCAAGGGAGACCAGGGCAGGGCACTGTCCTGGGCGAGAGGTCGGGTAGGTGGTGGGGAAAGCTGCCGAGAAGCCGTGAGTGGGGACCCAGGACGACTGAGTGCAAGAGGGAGAAGGGACTGGGTCAGAAACTACACAGGAAACCTTGGAAATGTGTAGACATACAGACAGCTGGCGAGGAGACCCCTGCTGTATACATTCTCAGCACAGTAGTACAGTAACCCCAGGGGGTTGTGTGTGTGTGTGTGGGGTCCTTGGCTGGGTCAGTCATGGCTCTCTCAGTGGTCATGGGGCAGGCCCACGAGGCCATGGGATGAGTGCTGAGGGGAGCCTGTGGGCATGGCCAGGACCATCCTGGCCATCCTGGGCTAGGATAGAACAGAACGGGGCTATGGGATAGGGCAGGCTGTGTGTGTGTCGCTGCTGTAGGGCACAAAGGGGAGGCTGAAGTGTGTGTGTGTGTTGGGGGGGCTTTGTCAGGACGTGTGGGGTGAGGGGGTGAGGGGCTGTTGCTCTGGAGAAGAAGAGTAGGAGGCACTTCTCAAGGATTTGTGTAGATGAGGACATGGAGGCTTGGATGAAAGGTTAGCCTGCCTGGGCCCCTTGGCCAACCTGGCCACCTGGGCTCCATTCTACTCTGTTACCTGGGCCTGCACCCTGCCCCTGAATTAGTGCCGATCTTGTCTGGGGAGCCCCAGCCACTTCGAACTGTTTACCCTTTGCAGTGATTTAGAGGAGGCCCCTGGCATGCTGTTAAGGGGCACCTACTTGCCTGGTGGACGGGTGGTCTTGTTGCATTACTTACTAGTTCCTAGTAGATTTTTGGGGGGTAGATTCCTTTTGGATTTTCTTCACATACAATCTTGTCATCTACAAATAAAGATAGTTTTACTTATTTCTTTTTGATTTTTACATTTGTTGCTTTTATTGTTATAAAAGTATCATTTTAATGATTTAGCTGTTTTTATCTCACTCTTCAAGTAAAATGACCCTCTAGTCTAGGAATGTGCTCTCCTGAGGCTGTAAGGGCCTGATCAACCTTGTGGTGGGGCCTGGTGGATTGTGCAGCATTGACTGTGGCAGGATTCGTGCCCTGGGGATGGGGCTGGTGGGAGGGCTACAGGCCTGGATGTGCACTGGGCTCCTAGTGAAGCTCTCACTGTGAGGCTCTGTGCATTCTGCCAGAGGAAGACAGCCAGCCACCTTTGCACCAGATCCAGGATGAAATTCCCGTGATGGAACTGGTAACTCTGCTCCCAGCCCAGTGCCAACCCAAGCTTCAGGATGCTGTCTGGGTGGGGCATGGGGATGGCATCTTCCCTGTATTCTGCTGCCCTGCCCTGTGGAGTCAGAGCCCCTGTTCCACAGCCAGGGCTGTGGGACTGAGGTGTGACTCCCCAGGATGTAGAGATACGGTGGGCACTGCTGGTGGTGATGCTGGCGTTTGTCCAGGGCTCGACATGGAGGAAGGCAAGGAAGGAGGCACATGGCTGGGCATCAGCACACGCGGGAAGCTGGCAGCGCTCACCAACTACCTGCAGCCACGGCAGGACCCAGATGCCAGGGGACGAGGTACTGGGGGCTAGCTTAGGGGTATAGGGGTTGGTCTGGGGGATGGGCCTTGGGGCGGGGCTTCTTTGGGCATGTGCAGAGACAGAAGGAGGAGCTAGAATGGGGAAGAGAGTGTTTCCTGGGCCCTGCAGTCCACTGTCTGGCAGTCACTGTGGGAACCACCCTCAGCTTGGCATACATGACAACCATGGCACTGACCTTTTACCCCTTTCGGGGAATGCACTTTATACCTGTCCCCCTGGGCAATGTGTCACTCACTATGTATCATTGTCCCCCACCTATCCAATGCTTGCAGAGCAGGTGCCCTTGGGAGGACAGCTCCATGGACACTTATTGTCCCTACTGAAGATTTTTCCCCTTATGCTGAACTGCCATATGGGGGTATAATGGAGAAAAAGTTTTTTTGTTTAAAAAAACATTTTTTTTTCTTTATTGATTTTTAGAGAGAGAGGAAGGAAGAGGGAGAGAGAGATAGGAACATCGATGAGAGAGAACATAAATTGGCTGCCTCCTGCATGCCCCCCACTGGGGATTGGGCCCACAACCTGGGCATGTGCCCTGACCAGGAATCAAACTGGCGACCTCTTAGTGCACAGGTCAATGCTCAACCACTGAGCCACACTGGCTGGGCTGGGGTATAAAGTTTTTTGAAAACCAACAAAAACAGTTCTCTGTCCCAGCCTCCTTGGATGACAGGTCAGTGGTCTGTTGCTGGCCTATGTGGGACCATCAGTTTCCCCAGAGAGAGGGACTAAGCCTGCTGCTTCAGCCATGGGTGCCTATTTCTGCTCACAGGTGAACTTGTGGCCCAGTTTCTGACCACAGACATGGACAGTTTTTCCTACTTGAAGAAGGTTTCTACAGAGGGTCACCTGTACAATGGCTTCAACCTCTTAGCAGCTGACCTGAGGTGAGTCTGCTGGGTGGGGGTGGCAGCCCACTGAGTGTGCCGCAGGACCGGGTTGTGGACTCAGCAGGGAGTAGGGTTCCTGCCCCACCACTCAGCTTGGGGTGCTATGGCATCTGTGGCAGCCTCTTCAGGGACATCACTCCAGGTGAGCTTGGTGAGCATCCCGAGGGCCGAGTTCCACCCCCAGACCCACTATTGGGACTTGGGAAGCAGAGCTTCACAGTGGGGCTTCCTGTGACAGTATGAGGGCTGCTGGCTCCTGCTGTAGAGAACTGGAGCATGACTGCAGGGTGCTCTCTACCACAGGGTGTGCCCATTGGCTACACCCCTCTGCCCCCGGGTCCTCTCACTATGTCTATAGCTGAGGAACCCCCTGTTTTTGAGCCATTCCTCACTTGCACTGCTCTCTGGTGGGCAGAGGTGCCCCAGGCTGGAGAAGGAAGGTGCAAGCACAACTGGCAGCAGTCCTGGAGCACTCTGGGGCCCCACAGTGGTTGGGTGCTATTGAGCACTGGGGCCCCAAAACAGCATTTTCAGGGAGCTGGGTCTGAGTCGGCAGCATGGCTCATGTTGGTTTCCGTGAGGTGCTTGGGGGCTGTGAGATTCAGGAATCAGGTTGCTGGGATCCTGCAGAGGGCCGTGCCCCTTGGAGAAGTGGCTCAGCATGTCCTCAAAGCCACCCTTTCGCCTGACACAGCCAAGCTCAGACAGACAGGTGTCCTGGCCACCACCACTGGTGGTGCAGTGGGGCCGGGGTCACCTGGTGCCGTGCTGGAGTCCCATGTACCCCTGGAGACAGCAGCTGCATCTGGCTGGGAAGGGGCACCGTGCTCATTTCCAGTTGACACTGGCTGCCATTGGGTTGGGGCCTGGTTTCTCAGTGTGTTTATTTCTGCGGTGCCTGGGCCTGAATCCTCGCCTCGGCTCCACACCAGCTCAGGCACCAGCTGCATAGTACTGTTTACGACATCAGTGTGGCCCACTTCCCACTGCAGACACTGAGCCCTGAGGTGAGGTAATTATTGGTGCTTGGTTCAGGTTAGGGGGAGAAATGCGGCACCCTTGTCCTCTGGAGGGGATCCTAGAGTCTGTGCCCTGGCCATCAGTCAGACACCGGTGGTTAGGGCAAGGGAGTGTTCAGGGTCTGCATGCTGGGTGCCAAACTGCCACCTGTCCCTGTGTGCAGACAGATGAGTTGATGCTGTTGAGAGTTTCAGTGTATATATATGGCAGAATGTGCTGGATGAGGGAGCAGAAGTGCTATGGCCATGAAGGGAGGCCAGTGTGGAGAGGCCCTAGCCGGCTGCCTATCCCTCTGTTGTGTGAGGCCCTTGAAGAGCAGTCAGTCAGTTCAGGTGTCAGTATCACCGGGCCCTGGTGGACTGGGTGTGCTGGGCTCCCACCCGTGTGAAGTGCAAGTTAGATGTGACTATAGGAACTACAGGAGTGTTGTGTGTTTTGCACTTCAGCAAAGTGAGCATCCATCTTACACTCCCTCCCTACTGCCCTCTCCTTTCTCCTCTCCTCACCCCTTTTAAAGCCCCAGAAGTTGGTGGATACTTCTGCCTGGGGAGGTGGTCAGTGCCCCATGGTTGGCTCATGAATGGGTGCCCATCCTGAGCCAGCCTTCTTTTACAAGGGCAGATCCAAGGGCCTCTGTCCCACCCCGGGAGTCCTGCCCCTGCCTCACAGATAGATGATTGGTGTAGAGGCTGCAGTGCCCCATAGGAGGAGGGCCGAGCGTGTGGTCTGTTGCTGGCCCTTGCTGCCTGGAGCCCTCTCTCTCCTGCATTGGACTGCTGGGACCTTCAGTGGCTCCTGGAGGGGAAGGAAGCCTCCATGCCAGTTCAGGGATCACTTTGCCTGTCAGTAGTTCTGTGTATGTCTGACCTGGCCCAGGAGACCAGCCCCTTGGCTTCGACACTGGCAGGACTTGGTGCTCAGCAGCTGTGTCAAGTAGCTGGGTGATGAGGACCACATGCTCTGAGTGGTTGCAAGAATGGGCAGGCAGTCCTATAGGTGGGAGGCTGAGGCATGGAGGTTTGGTTCCCTGAGCAGCTCTCTCCTAGCTTCTCTGGAGGCCACAGGGTTAGGGCCTGCCTCCCTGGACACAGCCAGCTAGCAGCCAGGGGAACTGAGTGGGTTCCCAGCACAGGCCAAAGGGTAGAAGGAGTCAGAGGTTAGAAAGAGCCAGATGGCGCAGGGACTTAGAAGTCAGCCAGCAGCCCTGGGGTGGGTACCAGGAGGGGTTCAAGACCAAGAAGAAGAGAGTGTTGTTTCTGTCATAGTCAGTCCTTGGGTCAGGCCCCCCTTCAACTGACCAGGCATGGTGGGAGTGGAAGCCCAGTCCTTCAGGTCCTTATGCTTTATTTCATTTTATTTTTTTGTTGCTAATCCTCACCTGAGGATATTTTTTCCATTGATTTTCAGAGAGAGTGGAAGGGAGGGAGGGAGGAGAGAGAGCGAGAGAGAAAGAGAGAAAAAAACATTGATGTGAGAGAGACACATCAGTTGGTTGCCTCCTGCACCTTCCAGGGATCAAACGTACAACCTGAAATCGAACCTGTGACTCTTCAGTGCATGGGCCGACACTCTAACCACTGACCCACACCAGCCAGGGCAAGTGAAGTCTTTTAGATATTGCTGTTCCCAGGCCAATGGTTCATGTGATGAGCCAGGAATCTTAATGACCCTGCCTGCAAGTCTGAGGGGCTGGGGCCCTGACTAGCTAGCTGGCCACTGTTTCTGTGCTGGCTGTTGGCAGGGGAGTTGGGGATAGGGCTATGGAGATTGCCAGGCAGTGAGGGGTCTGCACTCTCTGTGGCCCCTGATGTGAACTTCTCTGCTCTCCTGTTCACAGCACAGAGAAGGGCGATGTCATCTGCTACTATGGAAACCAGGGGGAGCCTGAACCCGTTGTCCTGGCACCAGGTGAGCCTGCTCTGATGGGTGGTGACAAGGTGAGGGCTGCTCCTATGGGGACACCTCTGTACTTTTCAGAGACTAGGTACCCTTTAGTAGATTTTGGTATATTCACAAAGCTGTGCAGCTCTTAATAGCATTGCTATTTAACACTTTCACCACCTCAAAAAGAAACCTTACCCATTAGTAGTTATTCCCATTCCTCTTCCCCATCCCCTGGCAACCACCAATTTACTTTCTGTCTCTGTGGATTTGCCTATTCTGGACATTTTACACCGATGGAGCCATGCAATGTGTGGCCTTTTGTGTCTGGCTTTTTTTACTTAGCATGTTTTCAAGGTTCATCCATGTTGTAGCATGAATTAGGGCTTAATTCCTGTTTATGACTGAATTATATTTCATCATATGTATATCCTACATTTTGTTTCTCCATTCATCCCTTGATGGACATTTGGGTTATTTCCACCTCTTGGCTGTCGTGGATAATGCAACTATGAACATTTGTTACAAGTTTTTGTGTGGACACGTTTTTATTTCTCTTAGTATATACCTAGAATTGCTGGATCATAAAGGAACTGTTTAATCTTTTGAGAAACTGCCAAACTGTTTTCCAAAGCAGCTGCACCATTTTACATTCCCACCAGTATATGAAGTTCCAATTTCTTCACATCCTTGACAGGCGTTGTCATTGCCTTTTTTTTGTTTTGTTTTGCATTTATCTTCAGATAGAGCAGGAGGGAGAGAGAGAGAGAAACACTGATGTGAGAGTGACACATTGACTGGTTACCACCCACACGACCCCAATCAGAGCCGGGGATGAACTGCAACTGAGATATGTGCCCTTAGTGGGAACCAAACCCGGAACTCTCTGGTCCATGGGCCGATGCTCTAACTGCTGAGCCAATCTGGCCAGGGCCATTGCCTGTTTTGCTTTTTTTTTTTTTTATTACAGTCATCCTAATGGGTGTGAGGTGGTATCACATTGTGGTTTTGATTAGGATGTCTCTAATGGCTGAAGATATGAGTAGCTTTTCATGTGCTTAATAGCCATTTCTTTATCTTCTTTGAAGAAATGTATATTCAGATCCTGAATTGAGTAGTTTGTATTTTTATTATTGAATTGTAGTTCTTTATATATTATAGCTAGTAGTCCCTTATCAGATATGTGATTTGCAGAAATTGTCTCCCCTTGTGTGGGTTTTCTTTTCACTTTCTTTTTGGTCAGAAAAATGACCAACAAGTAAGTTTTGAAGTGCATCATTGTAAATTTTGAGGATGTCCACTGATATATTTTTTTCTTTTGTTTTTTTGTGTGCTCTTGGTGTCAGAGCTAAGAGATCATTGCTTAATCTAAGGTTGTGTAGCTTTTCCCTTATATTTTTTTCTAAGAGTTATATAGTTTTAACTTTTACACTTAGGTCATTGGGACATTTTGAATTGATTTTTGTGTATGGTGTGAGGCAGGGGTCCTAATCCATTCTTTGCATGTGGCTACTCAGGTACCCTGCACCACTGAGGAGTCTACCATCATTCCTGGTAGATAAAGAACAGTGATACCCTGGGCTGGTGGCATGGCTATGAGGGCCTGGCAGAGCCAGCGCTGTCTTCCTTCAAAGTGGCTTAAGACACACCATACTTAGTCAAGATCCTGCCTGGAAAGTCTAGCAGCAGGAGAGGGTGGCGGCTCCCTGTCTTCAGTGCATCTTTCAGGATGCATGACTCTGAACTCACCTGCCCCCGCTGCTTACTGTAGCCTCTCCACCTCAACACCATGCCTTTTTCTCTCTCTCTTTTTTCATTTTTATTTTTTTATTAATTAATTAATTTATTTTTGTTACAGATATTTCTCCTTTTTCCCCCACTGATTCCGCCCTCCTCCTCCTTCCCCGCCCTGTCCCCAGCTTTGTTGTCCATGTCCATTGTCCATGCATACCTGCATATAAGTTCTGTGGTTTATCTCTCCCCATCTCTCTCTTTTTTGACATGAGAAACCCTTTTCTTTTTTGTGATGCCTTCTATTAACCACTGAGAACTTGTTCTGAGAAACTTGTGTCAAGACCTTAAGGCTCCCCCAGCCAGTGTCCCTGCCAGCATTAGAGGAGACCTCCCCCTTTCCTTTGCCCACTTGGATTTTTGATGGCTTATTTCTCATTTTCAAGGCCATTTGGCCTCTATGCCTTGCCATCGTCTGCTGGTGCCTCACCATGTTGAGTTTTTCACCTCTCACCATGAAGATGGGTTGGGAATACCTATAGAGAAGAGACTGGATTCTGGGGCAGCCTGGCCTCAGTGCCCCCAGCTGTATCCTGGCACCTTGCCTGGTGCTGGGTAGGTGGGTGGGAGTTTACTCTAAATTCAGACAGTGGGGCCTTTGCACTGGTGGACTGACCCCCCTCCCTACAGGGACATACGGGCTGAGCAATGCACTACTGGAGACGCCTTGGAGAAAGCTGTGCTTTGGGAAGCAGCTCTTCCTGGAGGCTGTGGAGCGGAGCCAGGCGCTTCCTAAGGATGTCCTCATCACCCAGCTTCTGGATGTGCTCAACAACGAGGAGGCGTGAGTGGGTGGGTCTTGCTGGGGTGAGCAGAGTGTTCCCCCATCACTGTGGCCCTGGGGCAGAGAGACAGGCAGTCTCTGCTGCCCTGTGAGGCCTGTGGAGGTGACTGGGGCTAGCTCCTCAGCTGCAGGAGAACCTGACATATGCTGACACGCTGTCCTCTGCCCTCCTCCCACCTGTCCCTATGGACAGTTAAGGTTTCTGATGGGGGCTTCTGATGATGGGAGATGGGGCAGTTGTGGGCCAGTGTGCTGGGAGCTCGGTGCTTTTAGAGCCTGATGTGGGTTTCGGTGGTGCTCAGAGTAGCTAGAGGCTCCCTTCTGTTTGCACACAGGAGATGTGGCATAGATGGACCCATCCCAGATATTTCCTGGAGAAAAGTTGTCTCTGACCTGACTTGCTTGAGGCATTTCAGAGGTCTTTGCATGGGGTACTTGCCCCAGGGACACCACCCTCTGGCATATTGCAGCCATCCCAGTGGGGGCGGGGTTGGGAGGTGTGTGTCAAGGTGCTGGCCAAGCTACCTTCCTCCCACACAGCAACACAGCCCACATGGCCCTCCTCTAACCCGCTCAAGCTAGGCCAACGTCCTGCCTAGATGCCCAATGGCCTCTTAGAGGAGCCACCACAGCCTGCCTTTCGATTCTGTCCTTAGGGCCCCTTTCTGCCCCTTGCTCACCCTCCCTCTCCTCTCTGAACCATGAACCAGGGCATAGCCTCAGCATAGCAGACCCCCAAGGGAAGCCCCTGCCTGGGCCTGCCTGGTGACCCATGCTTAGTTGTAAGTCACTGTCTGTCATCCCTGTTGGCCCATGACAGGCCCTGTCTGCTTTCATTGACAGTGTGGCCCCAGTGCCAGCCATAGTGGTCAGCAAGCTGCAGGGTTTGAGTGGGCTCCTATCATGTGCAAAGATGCCCCTAGGGCACTTGTTGGGATAGGTAGGGAGCACATGTGGCCAGGTGACTGTACCTCTCAGCTGGGCCCTGCCCACAGTGGCCCCACTGACCTAGGCCTCACTGAGAGGGGAGGGTAAGCTTATTTCCGAGGTGGCTTCTGTCCCTCTGTAGAGGACCCTGCACAGCTCTGACCAAACAGACCCCAGGCATTTTCAGATTCACCAGAACCTTCCCAGCACTGAGCTTATTGGTGCTCATGTCCTCGGAGTCCTGAGCCCTGGGTCCTGTGTCCTGGGAAAGCTCCTGGTGGCCCTGGCAGGGGGAGCTGTCCCAGTGATCGCTGTCTGGTTGTCCATGTCCAACAATGGAGTTCTAAGTGAAAGCCTTGACAGAGATTTGAGCCCTTGAGCAGAAAAGTGCACGAACTAGACCTTCCAAGGCTGGCGAGCTCCTTGGCACTACAGGGCTTCGGGCAGGCAGCGGAGGGGCTGGTGGTGACCCCTCCTCTGTTCTTCCAGGCAGTTGCCAGACCCGGCCATCGAGGACCAGGGCAAGGAGTATGTACAGCCCATTCTGAGCAAGTACTCGGCTGTGTGCGTGCGTTGCCCAGGCTACGGAACCAGGTACGGTGGGCTGCTGGGTATATCCAGTCCTGTTCCACAAGAAACCCGGCCTTACCTGAGCTTTGTGGATTCCAAAGCCTCTTCCTTATTTAAAAGTGGCTGCCATTTCAGCTTGTGAGGCTGTGGGGTGAGCAGATGCCAGCTCCCAGGGGTGCTACAGACCAGGTGCAAAGTCCCTGAGGCTTCCATTGCTTCCCAGGAGGGGGTCCTAGGCTACCCCTGCCCTCTTACACAGCCACAATGGGGCCGAGATGGCATTGGGCATACTCATGTCAGCAAATCCCTGTAAGCCTGAAGAGCCCACTGTCTGGCTCTTCCCTTCACTTGCCCTGCTTCCCTGGGCCTGTCACGTTCTTTGCATGATCATGGTTGAGATTAGGTCATCTCAGCCTGGGATGTTGCCTTATCCCAGGAAGGGTGAAAATGCATTGGCTGCAAGGTGAAAGTGTCCAGGAGGGAGAAGCTGTTGGCATGGGTGTCTGCTGTCCCAGCAAATTCCTTTCCTGCCTCCCTCCCTCCTGGGTGTGGCGCTAGGAGGCCTGCCCCACCTACATGGCTCCATCAGAGGGCAGTCCACATGCTGTAGTTGGAGGTAGCTGGGATGCACAGAGGAGGATAGGTTGCTGCTCCAGCCAGGATGCTTTAGGAGTGCTGCTGCCATTTGCCTGGCCCACCTGGCCTGGAGGAGGAGCACAGCCTCATGTACAAGCCACCTCTGCCCAGGCCAGTGGTTCCCCTCCTTCCTAATGCTGTGACCCTTTAATACAGCTCCTCATGTTATGGTGACCGCCAACCATAAAATTATTTTCGTTGTTACTTCATAACTAATTTTGCTACTGTTATGAATCGCCATCAGAAATATGTATTTTCCGATGGTCTTCGGCGACCCCTGTGAAAGGGTTGTTCGACCCCCAAAGGGGTTATGACCCACAGGTTGAGAACTGCTGGCCTAGGCTTAGCTTGCATCAGGCCCCATGGGCATCAGCCTTGTGTCAGGTTGGGGACCTACAGTGACTGTGATGGATGGGCCCTGCCCTTGGGGGCCCATGGCCACCAAGGACTCAGGGATGAGGTGTTCAGGCTGTGACCAGTGCTGAGTAATGTCATCAGCAAGTCACACATATAACTGGTTTTTGGGTTCAGGTCCTTGAGATTGAGTGAGCCAAGCCCCTTCTTTCCCCACAGGTGGGAGAGGTTGGGTTATTGCTACCTCCGTGCAGGTAAGGAGGTGGTTCTCCCAGGATGTGAGCCAGCCTTGCTGTGGTGACAAGGCTGAGGCTCTGCTGCTGATGCTGAGGACATCAGGCAGGGGGATGGACATGAGAAGTCTTGGGCGCCAGCTGACCAAGGAGATGGCAGGCCCGTTCTGAGTCTTCCATCCTTCAGGAAATGACAGTTTAAAGCCCTCTAACTGGGGGATGGGATGGTGTGCAGGGCCAGCACAGTGTGAATGCCCAGCACTGATGCTCCAGGGCCCGATGATGCTCCCGGGCCCGAGGAGGGTTGTACACTTGAATGGCAGTCTCTTTGGTTGGACCAGCTTTTTCCTTGGCAGGGGCATCTTTTCCCTCAAGGCCCTCCTCCATCATAGGCTTATTTTTGTGACTAAATGATATGCTCATGTTACTTGGTGCATGAGGCAAGTGCCAGGTCTACTCCCTGTCTGGGTGCATGGCTGCTGGGTTTTACCCTGACTGGGACCCCCAGTTTTCACTATGCATGTGCCCACTCTGGGTATCAGCCTGCACTGGATCTGCTTAGGAACCCGGTGCCTGCTCTGATCAGTAGGAGACAGATGCTCAGTGAATATTCATCATGGGGAGGGCAAGGAAGGAGAAAGGGTGTGTTGGAGCATTTGGGATGGGGTAGTGGGGGGTGGCAAAGGAGAACACAAGGGAATTTTCTAGATAAAGAGGGCCTGGTCCCCAAACAGTTGACAGGTTGACTTTTTGTCAGAGCTGAGTATGGCCGAATGTCCGTAGTGTTAGGCTGTTGTCTGAGAGCCCTGGGAAAGTGCATTGTCAGCCCAGGGCTCACCCTGGTTAAAGTGATGGGTGGTTTGGGCTTGTACTACAGAGAATGGGCAGGGCAGGCTGGGGTATTTCAGAGTGGAGGCAAGAGGACTTGTCAAGCGTGATCCTGTGCACCCAGCTGAGGAGCTCTAGGCCCACCAGGCTCAATGCCCAGCTACCTCATAAAGGTCCCTCTTCTCCCCACCACTTTTGCTCATTCGTGGCCTACCTCTAGCCATGTGCCTAGCATAGACCCCAGTGGTGGTGGGCTTTACCTTTCTGCCTCAGATCTGACCTCAGTTGGGGCTCTGACAAGTGGGCAGGGGGCTGAGGGCAGTGGGCTGAATATGGGCCATGTGCTCTCTTTCAGAACCAACACGGTCATCCTCGTGGACGTGGATGGGCACGTGACTTTCACAGAGCGCAGCATGCTAGATAAGGACCCTTCCCGCTGGGAGACCAGCACCCATGAGTTTAGGCTGCAGAGCTAAGTCCTACCCCTGGGTGTGGCCAGCAGGCTCCTGTAAGGCCCTGTCTTGAGGGCTGGATGGGAACTTTTCATAGCACAGGCACTGCCTGTGTGTGACTCGGCCAGTATCCCTCAGAACCAGGGCCTTCTGATTTGTGTGTGATCTGTCTGTGTCCTTGTATCCAGCTTGAGGTCCACCCTTATGCCAGTGGGAGTGACAGAGTCCCACAGCCAGGTCAGGGGCAGGTCCAGGTGTGCTGTGCATGTGTGAATGCACCTGGCCCTGCCCCCTGCCCACGCATAGAGACACACACACAAGGCATATGCTTACAAACATGCCTACAGGTGCACAGGCACACATGTACACCCATAGGGTACACACACAGAGGCACACAGAGTCACAAGCACAGGCAATTATATGCGCACACATGCAGGAATACACATTTTCCCAGGCATACACACACATGCTTATGCCAGATAGGCAGAGGTGTGCCTCTCACACCCACACACACTTCTGGCCAGTGGGTCTTTGCTTTGATCAAAACAACAGGATAGATCTTTGTTTAAAAGTGTCCCCTTTTCTCCTGGACATAGTCCAGTTCCTGACAGCCAGACCTCCACTTGGAGGAGAGACAGACCACATTTGGAATAAGGAATGAGGAAGAACCAAGAAAAACCTATTCTCATAACAGAAGCACAGTCTGGTTGGTGGATCTAGTGGTTCTGTGTGCATGGCACTGTCTTGTGTGTGCTGGGTACCTCAGCAGATTGTGAGGCCCTGCCTGCCCACTGGTCGTGGGTTCTGGGCAGGCCCATCTCAGCCAGGGGACACAGCTGGCCCTTGCCCATCCCTTCTCCCTGGGGAACCAAATTTCACAGGAATCTGTACTTGAACTTGAGATGTTGATAATAAAACTCTGAGGTTGTGGTGAGTCCATGCAGTCCAGGCTCTTAACTTGTGTGATGGGGACAGATGGAGCTGTTGTGTGCGAGGGGTTGGGGGCTGCTTTCCCAGCCTGCGGTAACTCTCATGGCATAGATACTGGTACAAGACTTTCCACTTTTTTCTTTGCTCACAGTATCCTGAGTGCTATGGGGGTCCTTGGGCAGAGGCTGGGGTGCGAGAGAACCTGTGTATAGGACAGAGTAGGTGCTGAGCTGAGCTGAGGAGCCAGGGATTTATGCAGGTTCAGAGCCCTTGAGAACCCCCTGAGGGAGTAGTGTGGTCAGACATGCACAGGTGACAGGGTGGGTTTCAGATTAAGAGGGTAATGAAGTCTGTCTCAACCCAAGGACTGGGGTTTTGGGCAAGCTCTTGGGAGTTCTTGTCCCCATCTGGGGCTAAGCATAAGGGGGTCCTGTATGTCCAGTTCCATGACCCAGGCTTCCTTCTGCCTCTATAGCTGACCCCCAACTTGGCCTTCTCAGAGAAATGAGAGCTGGAGATGGGGTGTGGACCTGTGTCAGGCCCAACTTGCCTGCTCATCCCTCCTTCCTCCCCACCCCTTAGGGGCCTGATGCCCTCCTTGACTTACTTTAAACTCAGAAGAAAAGTGTATGAGCAGAGTCAGGCTTGAAGGGGGCTTGCATAGGTGACATAGCCCATGACCCTAGGCCCAAGAGGAAACCATCCCCAAGTCCCTCAAGTGTCTGGCTGAGCCAGATGAGCCAGGCTCCTAGCTCAGGCACTGCTAACGCTGACATCCTTTGCCTCAGTAGGCTGCCCCACAGCATGGACCACTGCCCCACACCAGTACCCACCCTGGCCAGGCATGTCCACCATCATGGGGCACCACTCGGCTGGATGCAGAGCCATTGAATAGCCTCCAAAGATGTTTACCTCTGCCCCAGGGGTGGGGTATCGAGGGAAAGCTTGCTTACCCTTGTCCAACCTGCCCAGGACTTCCCAACAGCTTGGGTCCCCTGAGGAAGGGGCAGCTCAAGGTGTAGTTCTGTGATTGTTAGGGGTTGAATTTTGTGCCCCCAAAAGATATGCTGTAATCTCGACCCTGGGACCTCAGAATGGGACCTTATTAGGGCCTTTATAGAGGTAATCAAGATAAAATGAGGTCATTAGGATGGGCATAAACAAGTATGACTGGTGTCCTTATTAAAAAAAGGGGGGAAATTTGGACATGGACAGACATGCACACAGGAAGAATGCCCTATGAAGAGAATAACTATGCTGCCACACGCCAAGAAATTACCAGAAGCTGGGAGAAAGGCCTGGAACAGATCCCTTCCAGGCACCTTTAGAAGGAACATGGCCCTGCTGTCACCTTGAGCTCAGACTTCAGGCTTCAGAACTGTGAGAGAATAAATTTTTGTTGTTTAAGCACTCGTTTGTGGTACTTTGTTATGGCAGTCTTAGCAAAATAATATAATTGTGACCTTCATTTTACAGATGAAGAAACCAAAATTTAGGTATACATAACAGTCGCTCAGTCCCCAGGGCAATGGGGAGACAGAGCCATGAGGCCAGGAAGGAGCACAACGAGAACAAGATGGACCTTGGAGTGCCTGCCCCTGAGGGCCCACGGTCCTCCCACACTGGTCTCACTATTAGCATTCTGCCTGAATAACTTCTCTCCCAAATATCCCAGCTGTACTCTCCATCACATCCTGCAGGCCTTTGCTAATGTTTATGGTTTTGTTTGGAGGCGCGTCCCATTTAAATTTGCAATTCCCCCTGCCTTGCTCCCTGCTCTTTCACTATGTTAGTTACTATTGTCTGACAGATTATGTATTTTGACTGTTTCTTTTGTGTCTCCCTGTCAGGAGAGCTCCAGGAAGTCAAAACCTCTCCTTTCTTACCCACCTCTGTATCCTGATGCCTAGGCCAGGTAGATATTTGAACCAAGGATGGCAGTGCTGATGCTGCCCAAGTCTTAGTTTATTTAGGTCAGTGTCTTGAAGTGAGGCCCCTATACTGTTAGAAAGGTATATGCGGACCCTAGGAAGCTGATGCCTTCTAGAAGCACTTCTGACATACTATCTATCCAGGAAGGCCTGGGCCTGACGTTAGCATGCCTTAGCCAGTCCTCTCTGCTTGTCACCAGATGTATTTGATCCCTGAGTCCCCAACACAGGTCATCTGGGTGAATGGGGAATTCATCCCTTTCTTCGATGTCCCTTTTCCCAAATGAGCTTCTTTGGCTTTCTGGCTCCAAGACAGCCAAGTTGAGGTATGCTGGCATGGAGGCCAGCAGTATGGGGCTGACTGATGCAGAAGAAAGTCTATGAGCAAGAATGACCAGCTCAGGAATGCAGCCTGACCTTAGGTCTTGTCCTGGCAGGCCTGGGCTCCTGGCCTTTTGCCTGCAGAGACCCCTCCCCAGTCTTTTGATAAGTTTTGTCAACCAATGGTCATTGGTACTAATTCAGTGCCAACAGGAATCCCTAATTTGGGGTACGGTGAAGAAGGAAACTTTATTCAGTACAAAGCAGTGCAGCTGTGAAAATAGCACAGCTGTAGCAACAGCCCTAGAGCCTGGCCTCTCTAACAAGACAGCTCCGCTCGGTGCCATCTGGGTGTTTCAGCTCAGCCAGGGAAACACAGTCTCCAGTCTCAGATGATAAGGGAAAGTATGCTCTCTGAGCCCAAGGGGAGCTGGCTTACATAGACAGAAATCTCTGCTCCTGGTCCCTGATTGGTCTGCCCTCATGCAAATATGGACTCCAAATCCTTGCACTTTGGTTGGTCCAAAAGGCAGTCCTGATTGGTCAGAATAGAGCCACTCTGATTGGATGGGGCTGCACAGCTCCAATTGGACAGGGAAAACCTCAGTCCTATTGGTTAAAATAGGATTTTAGGAACTCCTTCATAAGGGCTGGCTCAGATAGCAGAAACAGTGCAGGCAGGCAGTTCAGTGCTGGCTTCTCTGTGAAGCAGTTTTTATAACAGGCCCCTATGCAGAAATGGCTGCTAGGCTGTTTTTTAAAATTTGAGCCCAGTTAGCTACCAGGAGCCCTTTTTAGTAGGTATATTTTTTTCTCAGGGTTCACAGTTTGCATGTGTATATATTTGCTGTTGGCCATGATCACTTGATTAAGGTGACAGCAGATGGCATCATCCAGACACTTCAGCAGAGACCTGGCTCATGGGTGAGCCAGGCTGAGGTAGAAACACAAGCCCAGAGGGAAGTTTCCAACCTCAGCTGGAGTTCCAGATTTCAGGCTTCAATCTTTGTGAGTCTAAGGCTGGAGCCAGGTGGGGACTGTGGGGGAGGTCCGGTGAGGAGGGTCCTTATTCATCATCCAGTTGGTTCCTGGCCTTGTGGAAAGCTGTAGGGTGCAGGTCTGAGGTCTCCATTCTGACTGGGGCAGGTGGGGCCCCCAACTCACCAAGCAACAAAGTATGTAGAGGTGGCTATGGCTGAGTGGTGGTGTGCCAAGAGTTCCCATGGGCCCTGACTGCACTGGGCCAAGGTCGGCAACTGGCCAAGTTTGGGAACCAAACCCTCATGGGGCTCCATGTCCACTGTGAGGTGCCTAGTGCTGACCACTGGGACAGCCAAGTGAATGGAAGGGGGCAAGAAGGGAGGGAAGGGCCTGAGCAGGCTTCCAGTTTCCTCACCTGCGATATTCCCTCTCCCTGCTTTTATTCATCTTTTCATTTTGAAATGATTTCAACTTGCTACAAACTTCAAAAAATAGAAAAAAGAATTCCAATATCCTTCATCCACTTCCCCCAGATGTTAACACCTTACCTAACCACAGTAAAATTATTACAACCAGGAAATTAGCATTGATACAATACTATTAACTGATCTATAGACTTCAGTTGAATTTTACCAATTGCCCCACTAATATCCTTTTCCTAAGCCAGCGTCCAATCTAGGATTCAGATCCCACACTGCAATTTGTTGTGTATCCTTTATTTTTTATTTTTATTATTTTTTTCTTTATTGTTTTTAGAGAGAGAGGAAGGGAGAGAGAGAGAAAGATGGAAACATTGATGAAAGAGAACATTGATTGGCTGCCTCCTGCATGCCCCTCACTAGGGAATTTGGCCCACAACCTGGGCATGTTAGGAATTGAACCTGTGACCTTCTGGTGTATGGGTTGATGCTCAACCACTGAGCCACACTGGCCAGGCTGTTGTGTCTCTTTTCATCAAAGATACCTCCTCAGTGTATGATCTTGACACTTTAGAAAAGTACCAGCCAGTTTTGGGGTAGAACGTCTGTCCTTCTTTTGAGTTTGTCTGATTTTTCTTCATGAGTACATTCAGGTTTTGCCTTTTGGGTAGAAATACCAAGTGAAACATATCCTCCTCAGGAGACACACTATTTGCTCCTTTCCTGGTGCTTTTTCCCCCTTTTTTTATTGAGGTATAATTAATATACAATGCAACACGGCCTTACAATGTATAAGTTGATAAGTTTGGATGTGTATACATTTGCTGGTGACTTTGATCACTTTGTTAAGGTGGTGTCTAAGGATTTTCCACTGCAAAGTTACTATTTTCGATTTGCAATTAGTATCTTGGGAGAGCATCTTTGGAACTCTGTAAAACACACCCCAACACCAGTTTCTCAAACTTTTGCTCACCTTTTTTAGCATCCATGATTTTTATCTGAAGCAGTTAATGTGCTGTCTGCCAAGTGGGATATTTCCTACTTCCATCATTCTTTCTATATTTATTTACCGAAATTCTGGTCTAAGGAAGAGCTGGACCGTCTCCATTTACTTATATCCTCCCTCTCTTGAGGCTCCTGATACAGAATTAACAAATGGAAAAGTGCCAGACAATTGAGGAGACCTGTTCTTTTTATCCTAATGATTATGTTCTGTGATTTTAATTAGAAAATTTCTGTGTTTGGACACTCGCACTGTCTAAACTGGGGACGGTCAGATCCTCGGACCACCAGAGCGCCCTCAACTCCCGGCGTTCCCATGCTCCCGGGTTCCCAGCATCCCCCGTGCCCCCTCCCCGTTCCCGGCGTCCCCCGCGCTCTCCTGTTCCCGGCACTCCCCGCGCGCCCCGTTCCCGGCGCTCATCGCGGCGATCGCCCTCCGCGCGACGAGCCCCGCCCGAGCTGCGACCGTTAGTGTGGCCGCAGCCTTAGCTTCTGGTCCCGCCCGCGAGGCTGCGCTATTGGGCCGCGCGCCGAGGCCGCGCGAGCCCTACGCCGCCGATTGGCGGCCTCCGCAGCCCGCTTCGTGCTTTCCCCAATGCGGGACGGCCGCGCCCAGGGATTGGCCGCGCGCCGCCAAGGCCCGCCCTCCGCTCGCCCGCGCGGCAGGCGGGTCCCGCCGACCGGGGAGAGCCTGGGTGGCCTTTCTGGTTGGCGGCGGCTGCTGGACTGTGAGGGTCTCCCTATTGTGGTCGGGCTGCGGGCAGCTCGGGCAGGCCGCGGGCGCCGGAGGTAGGTGCTGGGCGCGAGGGGCGCCCCGCGGGCCGGGCGGTGGCTGCGGCCTGCGCGAGGGCGCGCCCTAACTCTCTCGGGCGGAGGGCTGCGGCCCGGGTGGCACGGCACGGCGGGGCGGGGCGGGTGTGCGTGCGTGAGGCGGGCCTGGGCACACGGAGTCTCGGCCTTTGTGAAGTAGTAGGGCCGCGGGCCTGGGAGAGCGCGGGGCTGGGGTCCCGCCCCGCTGTGAGGTGGGACGGTGAGGAGCTGCGGCTGGGGGGCGGGCCCTGGCCCAGGTGGTGCCGACGCCGGTCGCTTTCCGCTCGGGTTAACAGCGGGAGAGTAAAGAAACCCCTCGCTCTGTGGGCCCGAAGCCTTAGCATCGCTTTCAGGCGGGAAAGGTATGAATGTGGTAGTGCTCTCATAGGACCCTGCGGGAAATCTGAGAAGTCGCCCAAGTCTCTTTTTCTCCACTAAATGCTCATGGACTGAGTATCACGTAGATAACCGGAATGTGGTTTTGTTATAACCATGATCGTGGTAGAAATAAATTTAAGGTGGCAACCTGTTGCCAGGGATACCTGTCAAGTATCATCTGATGGACTTGGGTTGCTCATGGTAGGATTTGATGTACCGTTTTTGCATGCTTGCATGTACCTTGTTACTTGATGCTCGACAGTCCAGTCTAGTGCTGGTGACTGCGAGGCCAACCACTAGGATGGGACGCTCTGTTTCCTGGCAGCAAAATGGACTTCTCAGTCACCGGGCTGCAGGCAACTCTGTCACCGGCCTTCGCTCACCAAAGGGAGTGAATGGCCAGTCGTGGTGCTGCCTGTGAGTACAGGATATGAGGCCCGTTGGAGGATGACAAAAGGAATGGATGAGGTCATACTGCTGCTGGGTTGGGCGGGAAGCCGAAGCTGGAGAGGCTTGACCTAAAGGCAACAGCCACTGCATTGTACTATCACAGCCGATGCCTCCATGCCAGCCCAGTAAGTGGACTCCAAAGAAGGGTGCTGTCTAAGTGTGTTGGTTTTACCTCTGTGTCAGGGATTCAGGGAAGCCAGCTGTGAGTTTGCTGCTGGCTTACTGGCTACTTGGCAAACAAGGTTTGCATCCATGTGTTCAGTTAGCTGAAGCAATAGTGAGGCCAATGACAGGGTGAACCACCCTTTGAGCCCTTTATAGCCAAGCCAGGCACTGTGGGGGCAGTTCCCAGTCTTGTTTTATAGTGTAATCATGACCTTGAGGGTAGGAAACATGGCCTCTCTTAGAGTTGCCCTCCCCTCCTTGGTGATCTTAGGTGATCTTATCTTATCCATCCTCCTGGCTTTAATGCCATCTCTCCTTGACATCTGCATGTCCATCCCCAACCTTCCATCTGAGTTGCAGTCTCACCTTTCTGGCTGTCTCTTCCACATCTCTCTGTGTTATTTTGATGCCAGGTATCCATGTCCAAACTTCAACCCCGTTCTTTACCCCAAAACACTCCTCATGATGCTTTCACCATCTCAGTGCATGGCAGCTCTGTTCTTGAGTTTGGAGCCACCTGGATTCCTCTCAGGCCTCTATACAACCCACAGGACCATTTCTCACCACCTCCGGCTTAAGCCTGGTAAGCCTCTTAATTCTTTTTGCTCTCACCTCTGCTCCTCTCAACCTCCACATAAGTTCTGGGCATAGAATGGTCTTTTACATTGCAAGATAGTGTAAAACTAAGACAGTACAGGCTGGAACCAGCTTGCCTGAGTGGTAAAACAGCTCTATCACTTCCTAGCTTTGACCTTGAGTGAGTTGCTTAACCTTTCACAGTGCTGTGTGAGCACTGGCGAATGAAAAAGCATGAAGCGATTAGAACAGGGTCCAGCTGAGAGTTGGCTGCCACTGCTGCCCTTGGATCATGTGACCTCACTGCTTGGACCCTTCTGTCCAGTGGCCCATCTTAAGATAAGAGTCAGAATCCTGGTCTTGCTTGCCCTCACAGACTTGGCCTCTTCTCATTCCCCCTCGGCACACTGCTCTCACCTGCCATACCACACTTCTGCCCCAGGGCCTTTGTTCTTTTCTGTGTACTTGGAATGTTCCCTCCTCACACCCCCACTACCCACCTGACTCTCTTTACCTTCCGATGGACACTGGCTGTGATGTTTTTACTGTATACCCTTTCTGAAGCTGCCTCCCCTTTCCCAATTTCTTGCTTTGTTTTATCTTGAGCACTTTTCCGTTTTTCTTAGTTGTTACTTAACTGCCTCTTCTGCTAAAATGTGAGCTCTGTGGGGCAGGGATTTTGTCTCTCTGGTGTCCTCAGCATATAGGATAGTGTGTGTGCCACATGGAAAGTGTTCAGCAAACACTTGTTGAATGAGTAGAGAAAGCTTACAGAGGGAAAGTAAGGAACTTGTTCAGGACTGCCCCACTGTGGGACTTTGCGCGTTGAGCTGCTGCCTCCTGGGGCTGGGCAGGTTTCCTGATCTCTCAAGGAGTGCACACTTTTCTCTCCATAGCTCTCCAATCCCACCCTGTGTGCCTCTTCAAGGCCTCCCTCACTGTCATCTTTATTTTGTGCTTCTACATGGCTGCTTCTTAGGCTTTTAACATGGTAGCAGGTGTTCCCCATCCTGTATTCCCATTTGTCTTCAATCCCTCCATCTCCTCATGTCTTCTTCATTTTCGCTTTTTTTTTTTTTTAGCCCCCAGAGTCACAGATTGGCTCTAGCTGGAGTCTGGGTAGACCAGATACTTAGGGGTTTGGTCCTGGTCTGATCTGTGTTCTGTAGCCCTGGACATGCTGACCTGCTTGTCCTTCTTTTAAAATGATCTTTCTTGGTTGCCAGGAGACTGATCTTACTCCACTCCGTGTTCCTGGCCTCTGACTGCAGCCTCCTCAGTGTTTACTGTAGTTCAGCCTTTATCTTTAGTTATCTATGTGCTTCATCCTTAACACATTTGGGGGGGTGGCGGTTATTGTGTTAAGTTACCATTGAAACCAGAACAGTAAGGACCTCTTAGAATCTTAGAAATAGAGTGATCATTGCCCTTTCAGCTGTGTCCAGGTGGTGGGGACCTTGTCTCTTATTCATGGTAGTGCCTCCCTTGGAGTAGACAGCCAGTATTTGTTGAATGAATTGATTAAATCTAAACAAGTCTCTGGTTTTTATGTTGTGCCACCTTCCAAATACAACCACCATACTCTGTCACTTCACTGCAAACTTTTTAAACGTATGGTATCTGCTGATTCCTTTCTGTGCATCCAGTCACGCTTCCCCCTGTGCATATATAGGCCTGCATGTGCATATCTGCACTGTGTGTGTATACCTGCATGTGCTTCTGCTCTCATGCCCAGGTCTCCTGCAGACCTCTGGGTTTTGGGTTTTGGATCACCCCTCTGAGCTTCCTTCTCAGCCTCATATCAGCCCTTTTGTTGTGCTTCCTCTTGAGTGAAGCTTCTCGCTGCATCCTCAACTCACTTCTTGTTCTGTGTTCCCTCTCTGGCTGGCCTCTCTTCTTTGGTTTTGACGACTACCACCTTGCTAATGTGTTCAGGCCCTTTTTCTCTGGGCCGCAGTTACAGAGCTGTGGCCTCAGCACCTGTTGGACAGGTCCACCTGGAGGCTTCATCTGTTTTCCTTTGTGGGCTCCTGTTGGAATGATGGAACACATGTGTCCCTCCAGGGAAAAGCCTCATTTGTTTTCAGTTCCCTCGTCTGTGCCCTCCACCTCTACCCAGTCAGCAAAGTGGTTAGTTTGGTGTCTTCACTGTTCTTGAAGGCACCCTGTTCCTCTTTCATACCTTGGCCATCTGGCCTAGAGGACTTCTACGGCTTGGGTCCTGGGACTGTGCCTGGCACAGCGGTTAGTCTCCTTTCTCAAATAGGGATTAAACTGTGGCATGAGAGTCACCTCACCTTTGGTGGCTCCTTATTGCTCCCAGGATGGAGCCAGGCTCCAGATGGTACCTAGAACTCCCTGTGCCTTGGCTCCAGCTGTCTTCTGCAGCTGCCCCACCAACCCTGGCCTGGCTCCCTTCCCACAGCCACCACCCCCTCCTCTACTGGGAACAGAACCACGCCACCTCTGGCGACTTCAGCACGCTGCATCACTGTCCCGGTCCACGTGCCACCTTGTGGGCCCAGGAGAGCCCTGGGGTTCCAGGGTAGCAGAGCGCCCAGCCGTACCTCTGAGGCCCTAGTGCTGCAGAGTTGAGCTGAGGGTCTCGTGCTCACCCTCTGACTGACCCAGCCCTAGCAGGTGAGTAGATTGATGTTGCTCTGATGGCCGGAGGGAGGCCACACACCTTATGTGTGTTCTGGAAAGGGCAGCCTTGCATCACATGCTTGCTTAATAAACTGAGCTAGTGGAATGCTGCGGTGAAGTTTAGTGTAGTTTTTTTTATTAATCCTTTTGAGCCTTAAGATTAAATATTGATTTTATGCTTCTGAAGTTGGAACTATTGTGAACAATTAATAAAATATTTAACTTTGGATTCACTATCACTTAGGTTCTAAAGAAACAAAGTAAAGGTAGTTTGTTTTAAAGCCTAAAAGGTTCTCTTAGGCAGTATTTTCTTTGCTATACTGTTAATAGCACTTGACTCTTGGTATCAGGGAAGAAGAAGGTTTCTGTCATTTTGTGACGATGTTTTTAAATCTCTTTGCAGGTAGAAGAAGAAAGGTGCCACTTTGGCATGAAGACAGACTCGCTTAGTCGTCAGTCATTTAAGCTGAGTGCATTGTGATTTCCAATAATTGAGGCAGTGGTTCTAAAAGCTGTCTACATTAATGAAAAGAGCAATGTGGCCAGCTTGACTAAGCCGCCAGCGTGTGCAGCGCGGGCAGGACGGCACCGGGTCTCGACGGACTTGTGCATGTTAGCTGTATAGATTTATGTAAGGTTTTTAAAAACTGGTCTTTTAAAATAGTATAAACCACTTTTACTATGGAGACATATGAGAGTCCCTCTCCTCTCCCGCGTGAGCCCGCAGGAGAAGCGGTGATGGAGAAACGTGCTTGCCCCCTCCAAGTGCTGCCCCGTGAACAGTCTCCACCACCTCCCCTGCAAACGTCCAGTGATGCAGAGGTAATGGACGTTGGCTCTGGTGGTGATGGACAGGCCGAACCCCCTGCTGAGGACCCACTCAACTTCTACGGAGCTTCTCTTCTCTCCAAAGGATCCTTCTCTAAAGCCCGCCTCCTCATAGACCCGAACTGTAGTGGCTACAGCCCGCGCACCGCCCGGCACGCACCTGCGGTCCGGAAGTTCTCCCCTGACCTTAAGTTGCTTAAGGATGTAAAGATTAGTGTGAGCTTTACCGAGAGCTGCAGGAGTAAGGACAGGAAGGTGCTGTACACAGGAGTGGAGCGCGACGCTCGCACGGAGTGTGGTGTGGCCCTTAGCCCTGTCAGTGGAGACATGCATGCTTGTCCCTTTGGCGGGAGTGTTGGTAATGGGGTAGGCATAGGGGGTGAGAGTGCTGATAAAAAGGATGAGGAGAATGAGCTGGATCAGGAAAAGAGAGTGGAGTATGCAGTGCTCGATGAGTTAGAAGATTTTACTGACAATTTGGAGCTAGATGAAGAAGGAGCAGGCGGGTTCACGGCTAAAGCAATCGTGCAAAGAGACAGAGTGGATGAAGAGGCCTTGAATTTCTCCTACGAGGTATGTCGGTGACCTCTCCTTTGGAGTGCTCTTAACAAAACCCAAAGAGAGGTGTTTGGGAACTGCAGCATCTTTTGCAAGCTGATGTTGCAGAGAAAAAAAGCCCATATGAGGTGGACTAACATTAATGTGGAAAAGAGACAGCTATAAAGAGTCCAGATTTTTAAACTAATGAAAAGTTGGGCTGACATGTTGGCTTTGTACCTTTTACCCAACCTGAGTTGGAAAGTGTTGCTGAATCGCGCTCCCTGCTGGTGTATGCGCCTGGACCAAGCCTTTTGGCTTTAGTTGTTGGTTTCATCCTGTTTGTTTTTCAGGTGACCATGCACCATAAGGGCACTCCTAGGTCCCCTGGAGAGTGCCTCATTTCCGTATCCATTCTCATTAGTGTTAAGCTTGCCCATGGTGCAGGAATATAGGTGCTGGGGCCGTGGTGTCTGAACAGTATGTTTTGCAGGATGATTTTGACAACGATGTTGATGCTCTGTTGGAAGAGGGCCTTTGTGCTCCCAAAAAGAGGAGAGTGGAGGAGAAATATGGAGGAGACAGTGACCATCCGTCTGATGGAGAGACAAGTGTGCAGCCAATGATGACCAAGATTAAAACAGTACTCAAAAGTAAGTTGATGGGTAAGAAAGTAGTGAGTGTTTGCAGGGCAGCAGAAGTGCAGGTTTGAGAGCCTTTGGGGTACCAGACAGTCTGGGCATGCTTTTGAGGGCAAGATAATTATGTCTGATGAAGGGGAAACACAAGACATAAGGACACACCCAGAAGCACTATCATACCATGTGCAGATTATGGTGTGTGCTGTGGAAACCACAGAGAAGCTGGTGTCTTGCAGAGGAACTGGGAGGGAACTTCTGATGGGGTAGAGGGTGGACCGCTGAGGAGGGGACATTGGTGTGTTCTGGTTGATGACAAGACAAGCAACCAGTGTGCGTGGAGGCTGAGGCCAGAGGTAGGTGCTTAGCATTCTGGCAGGTGAAGGTCAAGGTCTAAGTTCTAGACACTTGCTCTTGGGGGAAGCCACTAGAAGCAAGCAGGTGTTCAAAACAAAACAAAAGATGACATAATATGTCTTATTGTAGCATAATTGCTCTCGATAAAAATATTAAATTTAATGATTTAGTTTTTAAAACAGATCTAGAAATATGTTTTTTAAAAGTTAAAAGGATACTGATAACTTGGGGAAAATGTATCTTTGTAGCTGGGGGAAAAGAAAAAAGCAGGCAGGTGTTACACAGTTTTTATCTAAAAGCACAGCTCCTGTGGCCAAAGCATTGCACATATACTTCGGGTGGGTAGGGTGGGAGCTCCTGGGGTATAGGTGGAGGTGTTCTGAAGGTGCAGGCAATGGAATTTACACTTGGATTTGAGGACAGTGTAGAGAGTAGTGGGCAGAAGCCCAGAGTTTTGTTCTCACAGCTCCTTTGCCAATGCAGTGCTGGTCTGGGAGGAGTCTGTCAGTTTCTGTCAGTCCTGGCCTGGAGGCATCTGAGTGTCCAGGTGGAGATCTTGGGCTGGGCAGTTGAAGTGATGCATGGGGACTCAGGTGGGCAAACAAGTGACACCTCAGGCTGAGGGGCAAGGTGCAGAACGTAATGAGGTGTGACAGGAGGAAATCGGGGGGCAGCTGGTATGCAGTCTCCCCTTGCTGTGTAATGGATGTGTCAGTGGCAGGCATGTGTCTACCCATGTTGACTAGTGGTTGAAATAGGGCAGGTGTTGGGTTCATTGATAGCAGATGGGGATGAACTTGGGTCTTAGCTTCTGAGAAAGGGTTGAGGGACCATCTTCACATTGGTGCCTCTGGCATGTTTGCTCTGTACTCTTTCTGTGGTCTCAGCAACCTCATTCTGAGCAGGTCAAGTGTTCATCCTGAGCAGTGCACAGGTTAGCAGTATGCCTGGCCACTCGACCTACCTGCATGGACACTGGCTTTCTCTTTGCAGCCTTCTCCACCTAGTAGCCTTCCTGGCAGTGGTACCTCTCTCCCAGGAGTTGCAGCTTGGTCCTCATGCTTACAGGCTGCATATGAGCAGCATGTGAGCCCTTCAGACAGCCAGAGCAACTTTATGACCACTCATTGTTATAAATGAGTGGCCTGGATGCACCTGTGTCCTGTGTAGTGCTTAGCTTGTATTTCATTTCCTTCTTCTGGCTTAGCCCAAAGTTGGTGTAAGGTAGTTCTTTGGCCCTGGCTCCCTGGAGAGAGTGCTTGTCAGGGTTTGTGCACTTCTCACCTACTGCACTCCCTCCCAGGGGCCATCCTGACACCAGCTGTCCAGTATCGGCCACTGTGGGTGTAAGGCCTAGAGCCCCCCTTGCTGGGTGGGGACCTGGTACTAGGGTGCCACTCCCTTTTTCATGAGATCAGTGGTGCTGTTTTTATTGTGTGTGTGTATTTTTTTTTTTTTTTTTTGCATTTATCTTCAGATAAAGCAGGAGGGAGAGAGGGAGGAAGAGAGAGAGAGAAACATCAATATGAGAGAGACACATCGAGTGGTTGCCACCCACATGACCCCAACCGGGGCTGGGGACAAACTGCAACCGAGTGCCGTTAGCGGGAACCAAACCTGGGCCTCTCAGGTTCGTAGGCCAGCGATCTAACCACTGAGCAAAACTTGCTAAGGCCATCGTGTATATATTTTTATAGATTTTGTTTGCTTTTTTTTCCCTTTTGTTTCCAAAAAAAAATTTTTTTTTTTTAATCCTCATCCGAGGACATTTTTCCATTTTTTGTTCAGATAGAGTGGGAGGGAAAGAGAGGAAGAAGAGAGAGAGAGAGAAACATCGATATGAAAGGGATACATCGAGTGGCTGCCTCCTGCACAACCCAACCAGGGTCGGGGACAAACTGCAACCAAGGTACATGCCCTTAGTGGGAACCGAACCCGGGTCTCTCTGGACCACAGGCCGATGCTCTAACCGCTGAGCCAAACCAACCAGGACTTGTTTCCAAAATTTTTAACTTGATTCCAGTACCTGTAAGAAAATTAAGTTTTAGTTAAATCTTTGCCTTACGTTTTTCCCAGCAGCTGGGGCTGGTGTCAGGTGGATAAAAAGTCTTGAGCTTTTTCTTGATGATTGCTTATAAAGCAAGGAAGGGGTTGGGAGTAGTGTTTTAAAGGTAATTTATTTAGAAGCTTAGTAACCTGAAGTAGTGTTTTATGTGCTGGTGAGAGTTTCAGCTTAGTTACAGTGAAGACTTGTCCTGATCACAGGGGGTAGTATTCAACAGTTATTAGCAAAGCATATCCAGTCCCCAGCGTGCTTTTGGCCACAGCCTAGGCAGGCAGGTGAGCAATCTAGTGTCCTCAGTGCTCATGAGCTGTGGAGGCAGCCTCTGAGGTTCCTTCGGGCACCACATGCTGTTCTAGGCCCAGCAGTACAGCGGTGAGCAAGGCAGGCAGCTCCCTGCTGTCACAGAGGAACTTAGATTCAATTGGTTCAACCCAGATAAAGAAGCACAATGAGAGCACAATTTCATGCACAGGAGGTGCTGGAAGGTGCTGAGCAGCAGGCAGGGTTTGGCTAGGCTCTGTGTGGAGGGTGGGGCACTTCCCTACTTGCTTGGTTCTTAGAGGTTTATTTCAATAATTGGTTCACTTTACTGTTTTTATCTGCCATCTGTCATAATTACACACACACACACAAAATCCCGCCTGGCAGTGGACTGAATGTTGTCCCATGGACTAAGAAGTCCCGGTTTGGTTCCCAGTCAGGTCACATGCCTAGATTGCAGACTTGATCCCCAGTAGGGGATGTGCAGGAAGCAGCCGATCCATGTTTTCCTCACATCGATGCTTCTATCTCTATCTGTAAAGTAAAAAAAAAATACTAAAGAAAAGATTCTAAAAAAAATTCCAACAGTTTTTGTGTTTTTCAAGTGACTGTAGGATGTTCTTCTCTGCAGGTCGTGGCCGCCCACCTACAGAACCATTGCCTGATGGGTGGATCATGACATTCCATAACTCTGGAGTCCCGGTGTACCTACACAGAGAGTCTCGGGTGGTTACCTGGTCCAGGCCGTACTTCTTGGGAACGGGAAGCATAAGGGTAGGGGATCCATCAGTCATGAATTTAGTCTTGTAAATTCGCAGACAAGAATGTGTATGTCTGCACACATTGTGTCATTGCCAAGGCGAGGCAGGTGAAAGACATTGGATATTCAGACTTTCGGGGTCATCCTTATAATCTGTTGCAATTTTACTATCCACAGAAACATGACCCTCCTCTGAGTAGCATACCCTGTCTGCATTACAAGAAAATGAAGGACAATGAGGAAAGGGAACAAAACAGTGAGCTTGCCCCAAGTGGGGAGGTATCCCCTGTCAAGCCCCTCAGCCGATCTACAGAGCTGGAGTTTCCCCTGGAAGAGCCCGATTCCATGGGGGCTGACTCGGGGCCCACAGATGAGAAGGACCCGTTGGGGGCTGAGGCTGCCCCTGGGGCTCTGGGGCAGGTGAAGGCCAAAGTTGAGGTGTGCAAAGACGAATCAGTTGGTAAGTTTCCAGAGTGAACTCTCTTTTCCCTTTGCTGCCTTGTACTGTCTGCAGGGATGCCACTGTATTCCACACCTTTTCGGATCCATTTTCTTCTGCTGAAGGCCATCTGTTCCTAGTTCTGTTCATGAGGAAGGGACTTCTGGGGACCTCTGTCTACTCCTTCATGGCTGGAAAGTCCCATCTCCCTGTTTGGAGAACCTGCTTGGGGCTCTGTAGGGTCCATATGACCAGTGCTGCCATGGAGATGGCTACTGTTAGTGCAGACCGACCTTTTTCTCTGGTCACTTTTTATGTTCTTTCCTAAAGTCTTGCTTATTTCAGTAAGATGTGTTCAGTGTGGCAATTTGATGTATCCTGATGCACTCGATGAGCTTCTTCAATCCATGGACTCATTATTGGGAAACTGTCACTATTCTGGATATTTCATGTTTAAACCCTGCAATTGTGGGTGTGTTGGTGTTTCTCACTCTCTTTTCTGTGTATTTTAGCTTAGTTCTATCCATTGAAGTCTTTTTTTAAAAAACATTTTAATTAAAACAACTTATTATTTTTTTAAATCCTCACTCAAGGACATGCTGAGAGAGAGAGGGAGGAAAGAGAGAAAGAGAAACATTGACGTGACAGAGACACATCAATTGGTTGCCTTCTGTACGTGCCCCAACTGAGGATGGAATCTGCAACCCTTCAGTGCACAGGACAGTGCTCAACCAACTGAGTCACTCCAGCTGGGCTACTCATTCAAATCTTAGTTGTCTCTTTAGTGATGGCAAACTGTTTTAACCCATCTGTTGAATCTTTTCAAAGAGGATTTTGTGTTTTCAGGATTGGTTTGTCTCATAACTATTCCATGTAAAGAGCCCTAGAAGAGCTAAGGGGTAGCTTTTGGGAGATGGGGAAGAAGCAGCATGCTGGTTGGAGCCTCAGACATCTGGGGAAAGGGCATAGTCTCACTGGCTCCCCAGTTTCCCTGATGGATGGACCTTGGTCTGCTTGTGTTGGCCTCCTTCCACCATCCCAGTTGGCTTCCTCTGTCTTCTGGTTATGTGTTGGGGCTTTTCTCATTGACCTAGCTGGAAGGGAGTGCTCCCTTTTCGACAATGGTTTATTTTTTTATACCATCTTTTGTGCATATTAATTGAATGTGTTCCTGTTTTTCTAAAATACCTACCTCCTACTTGTAACTCTCCTGTGAGAGGGGACCACTGGTACTTATTTTCAGACTTGCTGCATTCATATGTAAAGAAATATGTAGTTTCAGTTTATAATTAAGTAGACTTTTGTTTTAAAAAGCTACATCTCAGTATACGTCTGTTTTTCTACATGGAACCCTTCCCTCCACATTCTGCTAGCATTGGTCTTAGGGCTGGGTCTGAGCCACAGCATGCTTGAGTGGTAGGAGGCAGGCGGGGAACTATTAAGGCTGATGTAAACCTCTAGGAAGTCCTGGGAACAAAGGGGTAGTAGGTAGTAGGTATAACAGTAAAAGTGGGAGGCCCCTGAAAACTTCACTGAATGGTGGGAGTGGAGGGTACTCAGCGGAGACAAGGCACCTGGATGAGCTGTGGGGCTGAACCAAGGACCTAGTGGGGAGAGGCATGAGGAGTACCAAGGCCTGAGCTGCCTGGGTGTGTTACTGAATTTGGAGGCTGCCAAGGTGGCTGGAGGGGGGAGAGAGCAAGATAGGCTGTGGGTACACAACTCCTATTGATAGTCGGGTACTTTTGATAACAGGGAGAAAGGCCCTGAAGGCCATCTAATTTTTTTTTTAACTTTTAAAAATAAAATCTTTGTTCTTGCTCCAAATAAACTAAAAGAATATCCCAGAAGTCTTGTTAAAAAGACCTTTCAGAATAGTTTGAGCTGGCTGAGTGAAGGGATCGAATTCTTTGTTTTCCATGCCCTTTGAGAGGAACATGGAAAGAGCAGTGGGTATCTCGTGGTGAGACCTATCTGATGGTTAGCCCATCGCTGTCCAATTCACTGGGCAGAGGAAACGACTTACATTGAAAATTAGTAATTTGGTTCTCTGGTAAATCTTGTACAGATCTTGAGGAATTTCGGAACTACCTGGAGAAGCGTTTTGACTTTGAGCAAGTTACTGTGAAGAAATTCAGGACTTGGGCTGAGCGACGACAGTTTAACCGAGAAATGAAACGGAAACAGGCCGAGTCTGAGCGGCCCATCCTGCCAGCCAATCAGAAGCTCATCACTCTATCTGTGCAAGATGCACCCACGAAGAAAGGTGAGTTGGGGCTTGTAAATTGTAACATTGGTAGACTGGTTATACTATAATTTTTTATTTGATCTTCAAGTGTATACTTTGTGTGTGAGTTGCCCAAAGCTTATGTTTACCCTATGAATGCAGAGGTCCAACAAATTCATGGCAGTGAGCCTCTAATTCAGTGACTTGGTAACTTGGATGGTGCCAGGTCTTGAGTGCTAGCTTGGAGTGGGGTCCTCACACTGTTGTTGAGATGGTCCTTCTTGTCACAGAATTTGTCATTAACCCCAACGGGAAATCTGAGGTCTGCATCCTGCACGAGTACATGCAGCGTGTCCTCAAGGTCCGTCCAGTTTATAATTTCTTTGAATGTGGTAAGTTCGACCTTCCTTGTCTCAGTCCTAAAGTCACACACCTCACTTTGGTCATGGCTGGGAAGGTGGGAGCTGGCTGTTAGCTGGGATAGAAGTGAAAAGGAAGTACAAGGATGTTGCAGATGAGCAGTTCATTTTTATGGGAATGTGTCCAGTCTAAGGATCACTGCCTTTGCTTCCCTCTTCATTTGTTCACACTCTCCCTCCCTCATCTTCCTTTGTTCCTTGCTCTGAGGAAGGCCTCCCACTGTCTCTAGGCTCCCCCAGGTGGACAAAGAGGCTTCAAGCCTATATTTCCCATCAGCTGTCTCCTGTCCATCCTTGACACACCTTTGTGAAAACCAATTTGTCTTCCCCTTGGAAGCCAGAACCTAGGAATTACTCATTCTTTTTCCCATCATCATTTACTCAATTGTTTTTCATGTCATATCTTTGGCTTGCTGCATTTGTGCATCCCTGCCCCCATAGTCCTCTGTCTTTCCCAGATGCTGGTCCTTATTCCTGGGGGTTCTGCCTCTGACCTCTTGTTTCCCCTCCAGCTCACTATCCCTTGGTCCCCCTTTCTTGAAATTTTCCTGGTGTGTTCTCTGCCTGCTGACCATCTTAGCCCCATCTCAAAGCCTCAAGGAGTCCTCGGGTCTCTGCCTTTCATCAGCGGTCCTCACCTCACTTTGTTGGTGTGAGCAGATTGTGTGTGTGTGTATGTGTGCGCGCGTGCGTGTGTGCACTTTTAATGTCTTGGCAAGTGTGTTTTAAAACAGTAATTTTAATTTTAAGAGAACCCAAGTGAGCCTTTTGGTGCCTCGGTGACCATTGATGGTGTGACCTATGGATCTGGAACTGCAAGCAGCAAAAAACTTGCGAAGAATAAAGCTGGTAATGTGTCTGCTTAGGTGTCAAGAGCTCCATTCTACCCGTTGTGTCTGTCCCTCGACTGGGGAGGGCTGAGCAGCAGCCCAAGTGGGAGGGGTGTGGGTAGGGAAAATTCATTTTATTTATGTAATTATCTATTTTTATTTTTTTAAAATTATGTGCTCATTGGGAAAGATTCAAATATATAAAAGAAAAGCTGAGAAGTAAAAGTAGAAGGTCCCTTCTCTTCTCATTGGCGGCCAGGCTGAAATCTGCCACCCTTTTTCTCCCTCCTCAGAGAGCTGACTGGGCTTGCTGGGCACATGTTTTAGAGCTAAATGTGGGCATGCTAGATGAAAAACAGGTGAATCAGCATGCTTTTGGCATTCTGTTCGAGTGGTTTTGACATTTGTGAGGACAATTTCTTGAGTCCTTCAAACTCCAAATTTGGGACTGCCACTCATTGAACACAAAGCAGATCCATGGGAAAGCTTATGTTTTCTGTTTAAAACCCAATACTCTTTTTGACTGTGTATGTACTGTTTGCTTTTGTGCCCAGCACTAGTAGTTATTGGCATTCTTTTCCAGAAGCCATTTGCCCCAGCATCAGGGCTATTTGGCCTCTTTTTAGGAGTGGGCCACATTGCAGGGTGGGTGTTGGGTGCACCCCAGGCCCTGGTACCCGTAGGTTGATTCTTGAGGTTTCTACCATTCCTGCATTGTCTTTCAGAACAGCTCTGCCCTTCACAGAGGCTGAAATATATCACCTCAAGTTCTTCACAAGTTTTATTAACGTCTCACTAGGTCTTGGGTCACTGAAAGTGTTTTTGCTCATGGGACTCAGCATTTCCCTTGGTATTGCTTTCTTTCAATGGTATATGCTGAACACAATTGGAATAATACATTATTGTCTGTCCTTCCTCTGTGAGGCTGTGATGGGCTCATACACTACGCCTGTTCTCTAGGAAGGCCTGTTGTCCACTTTTGAGATGTTCTGCTGAAATACTTTTTCATTTTAACAGATTGGGTGTTGCTGAGGTCATGGAGCAGATTATGTGCAGAGCAGGGCCTAGCATGGGGTGGGGAGAGACATTCTGGTGGTAGATCCCTGCTGTACTCCTCCCCATGTGCGGGGATCCATTCCTACCACCCAGACCCTGGCTTCTCTCCAGACACTTGCACTTGGATGTCTTGCTAGCACTATAACCCTACAGAGTTAGACTGTCATACATACTCCTCCCCTCTCCCCCAGTGACCCACTTTACTACCCCCAGTGATGAGTGGCAACCTTGCTCACTTGGGCACCTGTGCTCAGCATGGAGTCTATCCCTGTGCTATGTCCTGCAGATGCTTTCTCCAGAGGATCCATCTGATCTGGCTGCTTCTCCCTGCCACACTCATGCAGTCCTCCTAGTTCACAGTCCTCCCTACTTTGTCCAGTTCTGCTAAGCCATTTGCCTGCATGTCATATAATTACTCTGATGTGCACATCTCCTCTCCCTAACCTGCTTCAAGTGCCTCAGGGCCAAAGTGCCTCCATCACTGCCTCCTTTCCTCAAGATAAGCTCTTTTCTATCCTCTGCTGTCCCTGTCTCTAAAGTACTGCTGCTCTCTGGGGCCCTTGCTCCCCTGAGCCATGGGGTCCTTGGTCCTGCCTGCAGAGGAGCCAGCATGTAGCTTGCTCCGCAGTTGGGAAGCAGGCTGGACCCAATCCCTCTTCCTTAGGGTTTTTCTTTTCATAGCCCGAGCTACGCTGGAAATCCTCATCCCTGACTTTGTTAAACAGACTTCTGAGGAGAAGCCCAAAGACAGTGAAGAACTTGAGGTGAGTGTCATGACTCCTGTTTGGAACTGTGATTCCCAGCGCAGCCTGCCTGCCCAGTTAGTGCAGGCTGTTCTCAATGATTTAATCATTGAAGCTTCAGGTGATATTGTTTGTTCATATTTCATAAAAGGAGAAACTTGCTTATCTTTGTGCAAGCATGGGGAAAAATGTCATTTTTGTCAGATTTTTGTACTAGGAAGTTGTTTGTGCGTGATAAATGTATTTGGAAGTAAATCGACTCTCTCCTTGTAGTAGATCTGTGGTGGGAATGAACGTTTGAAGCAGAGTCTACAAAAGTTTGATTATTCTTTATGTTAAGAACTACTTAAAACTACTTGTGAACCTTTTTTGGGTAAATCTGATTCTGTGATTTGTAACTAGGGCTTCTCAAACTCTGAAGAATGCATTTTCTAAGTAAAAGCTTTATTGATGTATAATTTATATACCTTAAGTTTTTCCTTTTTAAACTATACAGTTCCGTGGCATTTTGTATATAACCATCACAACAATCTAATTTTAGAATACTTTAGCAATCATTCCCAATTCTCCCTATTCCCTAGCCCCTCAGCACCTAGAAACCACTAATCTCTGTGGATTTGCCAGTTGCTGTCTCTGGATTTGCCAATTCAGGACATTTCATAGGAATGGAATCACATATGTGGTCCTTTGTGACTGGCTTCTTTCACTTAGCATGCTCTCTTATCTGTGGATCTTATCAGATTGAGGACATTTTCTTCTGCCTCTGGGTTGCTGAGAGTTTTTGCTAAGAATAGATGTTGAATTTTCCCAGTTTTTCTGTATAGGTTGAGATGATTGTATGGTTTTTGTCTTTTACTTTACTAATATGGTGATATATTGCATTAATTTTTTATTTCATTTTTGTAAGTTAACAGAATTTCCTTTCTTTTTTTAAAAAAATTCTTTTTCTTTATTGATGAGAGAAAGAGAGTGAGTGAGAGAGAACATAGATTGGCTGCTTCCTGCATGCCCCGCACTGGGATCAGGCTCACAACCTGGCATATGCCCTGACCGGGAATCAAACAGGCGACCTCTTGATACATGGATTGACGCTCAACCACTGAGCCACGCTGGCTGCGCTATTGCATTGATTTTTTAATGCATTCCTGGGAGAAATCCCACTTGGTCATGATGTATAATCATTTTTATGTGTTACTAGATTTGGTTTGCTAGTATTTTGTTAAGGACTTTCTGTAGCTATAGTTACTAATAACGGATACTGATCTGTGGTTTTCTTGTGATGTTTTTGTCTGGTGTTGGTAGCGGTGTAATACTGGCCTCAAAGAATGAGTTGAAAAGTGTTCTTTCCTATTCAATTGTGTGGAATAGTTTATGAAGGGACTTTGTATCTTTCTGGGGATTTTTCAGTTTGATCTAGGTTATGTAATTCATTGGCATACATTTGTTCATAATATTTCCTTATGATCCTTTTTATTGTATGGTTGTGATGTTCCTGCTTTAATGCCTGATTTTAGCGGTTTGAGTCTTATTTTTCTCATGGTAAGTCTAAAGTTTTGGTAGTGTTGTTGATCATTTCAAAGATCCAATTTCTGATTTGTTTTGTTGACTTCCCATTGGTTCTTTTATTCTCTATTTCTGCTCTAGCTCTTATTATTTCCTTTCTTGTGTCAGCCTTGGGTTTAGTTTCTTTTTTCATAGTGTTTTAAGTTTAGGGTATTGATTTGAAATTTTCTTTTTTTTTTTTTTTTTTTGTTCAGGTAGAGTAGGAGGGGGAGAGAGGAACAGAGAGAGAGAGAAACATCGATGTGAAGGGACACATCGAGTGGCTGCCACCCGCACGACTGACCAGAGCCGGGGACAAACTGCAACCGAGGTACGTGCCCTTAGCGGGAACCGAACCCGGGTCTCTCGGGACCGCAGGCCGACGCTCTAACCGCTGAGCCAAACCGGCCAGGGCGAAATTTTCTTTTTATATGTGGAGTTTACAGCTGTACATTTTCTTCTATGTACTGTTTTAACTGCATCCCATAAGCTTTAGTATGTTTCTCTTCATTCATCTCAAGTTTTTTTTTTCTAATTTCCCTTGTAATTTCTTCTTTGAACCATTGGTTATTTTAGTTTACTTTACATATATTTGTGGATTTTCCAAATTTTCTTTAGTTACTGATTTTTTAACTTAATTCTATTGTGGTTTAAAAACAGTTTGTAGCCCTGGCCCGTTTGGCTCAGCGGTTAGAGCGTCGGCCTGCGGTCCTGAGAGACCCGGGTTCGGTTCCCGCTAAGGGCGCGTACCTCGGTTGCAGTTTGTCCCCGGCCCTGGTCGGTCGTGCGGGTGGCAGCCACTCGATGTGTCCTTTTCACGTCGATGTTTCTCTCTCTCTCTTCCTCTCTCCCCCTCCCACTCTACCTGAACGAAAATTGGAAAAATGTCCTTGGGTGAAGATAAAAAAAAAAAAAAAAAAAATTGACTGAAATCATACAAACTGTTTTTTGTTTTTTTTTTATCCTCACCCGAGGACATTTTTCTATTTTTCGTTCAGGTAGAGTGGGAGGGAGAGAGAGGAACAGAGAGAGAGAGAGAGAAACATCGACGTGAAAAGGACACATCGAGTGGCTGCCACCCGCACGACTGACCAGGGCCGGGGACAAACTGCAACTGAGGTATGCGCTCTTAGTGGGAACCGAACCTGGGTCTCTCTGGACCGCAGGCCGATGTTCTAACCGCTGAGCCAAACTGGCCAGGGCTCATTTTAAATTCATAGAGGTTTATTTTATGACCTAACATATGGTCTGTCCTGGAGAATGTTTCAAGTACACTTGAGAAGTATGTATATTCTGCTGTTACTTGGTGGAGTAAACCAGATGTCTTTTAGGTCTAGGTGGTAAACGTAGTGTTTGTTGTTCTATTTCTTTGTTGGTCTTCTGCCCAGTTCTTCAATCCGTGATTGAGAGTGGATATTGAAGTCTCCACTATTGTTGAATTGTTTATGTTTCCCTTCAATTCTGTCAGTTTTTGTTTTATGTATTTTGGAACTCTTGTTAGGTACATATATGTTTGTGATAGTTGATATAATAAGAAATATATGTTTGGTCTTTGACCTTGGTTCCTGGGGCAGAGCTAATGTAATGCATTAAGCTATTACCTGTTTTTTTTTCTTGTCCCCAGTTCTTGAAATAGCTCCAGGTTGAAAAGGTAAATGGAATGTCTTTTGTTATTCTTTCTTTCTCTTTTTTAGAGAGAGGGAGGGTTATTTATGCAATCATTGGTTGATTTTTGTATGTGGCCTGATCAGGGATCAAACTTGCAACCTTGGTACATCGGGACAATGCTCTAACTAACTGAATTACCTGGCCAGGGCTGTTATTCTTAATATTCCCCTTTCCACCACACCAATGTTAATGAAGTGAGTTTTAGAAAGCCACTAAGGATTGGTTGGGGCTGATTGCCAGGGAAACCTAACATCTAATTAGAGGGTTGGAACTTTCAGCCCCATCCTTCATTCTACTCCCACCCCCAATTTCCAGGCATGGGGGAAAGGGGCTGGAGGTTGTGTTAATCATCGATGGCCAATGATATAATTAATTGTGCCTTTGTAGTGAAGCCCCCATAAAAAACCCTAACTAGTGATGTTCAGGAACCTCTGGGTTGGTGAACCCGTGGAGATGGAGGGAGAGTGGTGCATTTGAAGAGGGTGTGGAAGCTCTGTGCCCCATCCTTTATACTTTGCCCTATGCCAACGATTTTCAAGTGGTGTGCCAAAGAATTTTTAAAACATGCAATATCTGACTATTTTTAGTCAGGGACACTGGCCTCTTTTTCCTTAGCTTGTCAAATAAAAGAATGACAACAGACACAACAATAGTCGTCTGGTGTGAGTGAATCAAAGTTATACCTATTTTATTTTGTCAGGTGTGTCACAGAATTTTAGTAATTAGCTTGTGTGTGCCATGGGATAAAAAAAAATGGAAAATCGTTGCCCTATGCATCTCTCCCATCTGGCTTTTCCTGAATTATATCTTTTTGTAATAAGCTGGTAGTCTAATAAACTGTTTTCTTGAGTTTTGTGAGCTATTACTCCAAATTATCGAACCCGAGGAGGGGTTTGTGGGAACCTCCAGTATATAGCTGCTTGGTCAGAAGCACAGGTGACAACCTGGACTTGTGATTAGCATCTAAAGTGGCAGTGACAGTCTTGTGGGACTGAGCCCTTAACCTGATGGGGTCTGCTCAAATGTCTGGCAGTCAGTGTCAGAATTGTCTGGTGTGGGAAACCCACACAGTTGGTTTCAGAAGTGTTTACAGTAGGAGTAATTTTTATTTTTTATTTTTCTTTATTGATTGTAGAGAGAGAGGAAGGGAGAGGGAGAGAGATAGAAATGTCAATAGGAGAGGACATCGATTGGCTGCCTCCTGTATGCCCCGCACTGGGGATTTGGCCCACAACCTAGGCATGTGCCCTGACTGGGAATCAAATTGGCGACCTCTTGGTACATGGGTCAATGCTCAACCACTGAGCCACACCAGCCGGGCAGAAGTAATTTTTATTTAATGTTTATAATGTTTATGTCATCTTGATGGATGGACCCTTTGTCATTTTAAAGTATATTTCCAGTAACAATTTTTATCTTAGAGTCACTTTTGTTTGATATAGCTACTCCTACTCTCTCTTAATTACTGTTCTACATGGTTTACCCTATCTTTTTACTTTTTAATTTATTTGTGTCTTTGCATCTAAACTATGTCTGTTGTACATGGCATAAGTTGGAATTTGTATTTATTCTGTCAATCTGTTTTTTGATCAGAGAGCTTAGTCCATTTAATTTAATATTATTACGGAAAAGGCAGAACTTTTGCCATGCCATTATGGTTTTTGTTTTATGTCTTTTTTGTTCCTCGGTTCCTACATTACAGCCTTTGTGTTAAATAGATAACTTTCTAATGTACCATTTCATTAACATGTTTCTTTAACTCATTTTTAAAAATATTTTTTCTTTACTGAATTTTAGAGAGAGAGGAAGTA